AATGCGTTGGGCTGTTTGAATTGTTTTTGCCAGCTTTGACAATGTTTGGTCGCGTTGTGTCCTACGAAATGTTCTCTTTTATAAACAAAGATTTTTTCATTTGATAAAGTTGAGTGAGGACTGGACGTTAATCGGAGGGAAGTTTTACAACAGTCATTGGTTTGATTAAAAAACATGTTCGCTTTGAAAAAAACTTTCCCGGAAAACTGTTGAAAATTAGTTAGACAGTATTTATGTCAAAAAATATCAGAAGTTAGAATATTGAATAAAAAAAAATTAATTTCTCCTTCCAACTAGCTGAACAAAGCGTTCTTATCGACTTGAATTCGAAAAATATTTTCACGCATCCGACAAATATGTGTTGTCTTCATCAATTGGATCCCTGCATTTTTCTTATTCAACCTGTGAAATGTTGCTAATTGACGTCGTTCTTATAACAGGAACTATAATTTATGTGAAGAATACACACTCTGGCGTTTTATAAGAGCTTCAAGAATACTTCATCCATAAACTAACCTTTTCTTGATCCTTATTTTTTCATTCACATCTATCATCTCGCTAAGAGTACGATAGTCAATTGAGATGATTTGTGATATGATCTAGTTCCAACGTTCTATCGGCGCGCCCAATGAAATCTTTACAAGAAATTTAACTTAATTAATAATTTAATAAGTCACCTCGTGAAAAACATATCTCACTACATCGTCAGCGTTGTAAATTTTATTAATATTTTTAATGATTGTTTTTCTTGTCGATTTTTCATCTTCATCAGATGGACTTAATACTACATTCAACAATATTTTGAAGCAGTTTGCACTAATGGCAAAAACATCTTTTATTTTTCTTTTTTTCCCCATCCGCATTTAAATGTTTACGAAACATGATCAGACATTCAGCTGTTTCAGATGTCTGTAACTTTAATCAAATTTGTTTATTCGGTAATAAAAATATCTGTACACAGAGTCCTTTCGTTTCCTTTACTTTTCAGATTAACTAAAACAGTTTAACAGATGACATAAAATTGTATTTATAAAATCAAGATGTATGTTTTTAAGATGTACACGAGAACTGTGGCTGTCACAAAGACAATGCACATTTTTTTGTTATTAATTAAAAGTTATTGCTTTAACAGGATAACATGTGCTCATTTTTTTCTTTTGAATGTCTTAAAATTTATTGATTAACAGGATATTTTACGTTGCAAATAATCTTTATTAAAATTTAAGATATTTGAAAATTCATTTACAAAAGAAATGATGTTGGTCATATATTTTTGACATAATGGGAGTTGTCTGCGAGTGCATATTTATTTGTCCGCCGTTAGCTTGGCAGAGTATAATTAATTACTGTCTAACGAGATTAAAATTTCTTGTTTTTTATCATGAAATGCCGATAATTCACTCTAGTAAAAAACTGAAAAGAAAGGTTCTCAAAATAATGATCAATTTTTGGGCAAAATCTAGCTCCCTCAGTCTCTTCATAGAGAAAATGTTTTGAAATTTTGTTGCTCTTCATAAATTGTGAAACTATATGTGCTATTCTAACGATAGTAAATAAGTATTTGACTAATGAGATGTTGTATAATGGAATATGAACTTACATCTCTGTATTTCCCTTTAGATAAGTTGTCCTAATTATTTTGTTATAAAGTTGCTTCTTCATCTGTGTCACTTTTCATTTTATGTCAGTCTTTATCTATTTCAGCACTGCACTTTATGCAGTGGTGGTACAGCTTTAGTTAAGATAAATTGTAGCGCCTTCAGTTTAAATTCAAACTATTACCATTACAGTGCTGCTTTTCTTTATGAATTTGGGAGGGGGGGAATCTTGTTAATCGAACTGCTTTTGGATATCGAAGAATTAGCTGTTTTAAGTTATTTTCGCATACGATATGTCTGCAACTGACTTTCTATATTGTTTACAAACGCATAGAAACTGTCATCTAAATGCTTTAAATGAACCTTTTGATCAAAATTAAAGACTTCTTGGGGAGACATTACGACTACACTCAGAAAGAGATAAAGAAAAGTTAGTAAAAAGGCTCCTTGACATACGTTAAACTTAACCATGAAAGAGATAAAGAAAAAATAAAAAACTAAACCAATAAAGAGATCAAGAAAAAAACTAAACTGAGAAAGAGATAAAGAAAGACAAATCTTTCTTCCCTCCCACGTCTTCGTCAGTTCTTCTTTAATCACTTCATTAACATAATCAAATATGGCGGAGAAGAATTTCAAAAACGACTTGAATGAAAAAGAGCAAGAGGTTGTCTATTTTGCTTGGTGAAATTCGAAAATATTACTTTGGTTTAATATAGGCGTTCTTATCAATGTATTTGCGTTTTTGGATACTGTTGTATTTGCCTGCCCCTTTAAAATGCCCATAAAGTTGGTCGAGATAATGTCTCGCTAGTTTGTTGTTACTTTACGAGTCAATGGTTAACGACTTAACGCCACGAGGTTTTCTTATTTTAACGCAGTTGTGATAACCATTGAACATATGACATGTAGGTGAAAATATTGCATATTCTGATTCTTGTCGAAATATAAACAAGATATGTGTGACTTGGTTGATTTTTTGTCATTATTGTATGTTGGCCGGCGCAAGAATTACTGCATTACAAAGATAACTTTGTCTATGATCATGACAGTTAAATACGTCCTAAACGACATAACATTTTCTATTAGAAATTATGTTGAAATTGTTTGTATGCTCTACCCAAAGTTGACTACTTTTCATTTAAATCAGTTCATTATATAAGACGAATGCCACATAAATCCAATTCACCTGAACAATTTTAGTTATGTTAAACTTCTCTGATCCTTAGATTTCTGATCTGACTTTAAGCTTCAGTTTAAAATATCTTTCAACATGACAATATTTCTTTAATTTAGGTATTACAACTTTTTCTTACAACTACAAACACAGATATGTTTAAGAGAGGCTTTCCACCTATAAGTACAGCACTTGCCCTTAGATTTCTTATGGCGAGAAAGTTTGACCATGAACGAGCATCAAGACTGTTCCAAAATCACTTGAAACTTCGCCATGAGTACAACATGGCCTTGATCCAACCATTAGATGAACCATTATCCATGGAGTTGCTCAGTGGAAAACTAACAGTTCTTGTAAGCAGTTGCTTTAATAAAATCCAAGTATTTGCCTTTAGATAGAAAATGTTTAGCCTACTGACACACAAGTTTTTTGGTTATTTTGTTGTTGAGTCAATAACCTTTAGCTATTGTTATGTTTCACACTGTTCTAGTGCAAGGAATTAGACTAAATAAAGCAATATTATAGAGTTTTTATAATGCTTTAACCCCCACAAATTTACCATGCTTTTAGGCTAGACCAGAAGAAGATGAGCCAAGCATAGTTTTGGTCAGCACTAAACAATACTTTCCCAGCAAACAGGACAATGAAATCATAATCCAATCGATGATATTCCAACTGGACGAGGCTCTTAGAGAGTATGTATGTTATCATCTTTTATATGTGTATATAAACATTTGTGGTTACTCGGACTATGAAGTAACATCCTTTCCATGCCCCTCCTTTCTATTCTCAAACACTCAAATCATTAATTATCTTGTGTGGAGACACTTTCTCTGTAGTCATTGCCATACCAGTTAACATCCTTGCCACGCCCTCACCATGTCCCTTGCCTCTATTCTTAACGACTTGAATCATTGTTGATTAACATTTTGTATGGAGACACTTTCTCTATGGTCATTGCCATACAAGTAAACATCCTTGCCATGCCCCTCACCATGCTCCTTGCCTCTATTCTTAACGACTTGAATCATTGTTGATTATCATTTTGTATGGAGACACTTTCTCATGGTCACATACAAGTTAACATCCTTGTCACGCCCTCACCATGGCTGCCTCTATTCTTAACGACTTGAATCATTGTTGATTAACATTTTGTATGGAGACACTTTCTCTATGGTCATTGCCATACAAGTTAACATCCTTGCCATGCCCCTCACCATGCTCCTTGCCTCTATTCTTAACGACTTGAATCATTGTTGATTATCATTTTGTATGGAGACACTTTCTCTATGGTCATTGCCATACAAGTTAACATCCTTGCCACACCCTTTGCCTCTATTCTTAAAGACTCTAATCGTTGTTGATTATCATCTTATGCATACAAATTTCCTCTATGGTCAATTGCCTACAAGATATCGCCCTAACCACGTCCCTACCCGTTATTCACAAAGACTCGATTAATTTGTAAATGTATCTCTTGAAAGCACGGAGATGTTAGAATTTTGAGTGAACTAGTGAAACGCGAGGGTACCTCAATGACCCTACTTATCCCTGCTATTAAATTGTTTTATCCGTTGTTTATTTTAGGGAAAAGAATTTGTTTCTGGGCTGTAGCTATATGTCGACCAAACCCTCAAAACTGTTATTTCGAGTCTCGTAAAACCGTTGTGTTTATTCGTTCTTTGTAGTACAACTCACAATCTAACACCTTGGGTTTCAAATTAAATGAAGATATGATCTTCGCACTTTGCTGGACAATTTAAGCAATTGTCTCATGAACCTGAAAAATTCAGGTGACTCAACGGGATTCGAACCCATGACCTCCGCGAACTTTGGGGTTTCCCTGCTTATCTTTAGTACTACGGCACAATCTAACACTTTGGGGTTTCCTTGCTTATCTTTAGTACTACGGCACAATCTTACACTTTGGGGTTTCCTTGTTTATCTTTAGTACTACGGCACAATCTAACACTTTGGGGTTTCCTTGTTTATCTTTAGTACTACGGCACAACGAAACGGCCTTGTCATCATTTACAACATGGTCAATTCCCGGAGAGAAAATTTCAACTACAAACTCGGTTTGAAGATATTGCACTTGTTTGTGGTAAGATTTCTTTGGCTAACCCGAATTTGTAGAAATAACAATAAATTTTTCAATATACTTTTGAAGATGAGTTGTTTATGCTCATCTATCATCAAGTTCTTAAAAGTTTCAATAAAAATCTTCAATCCACCGAACACTTACGAACTTCCTTTACATTGTTCGTGCAATACTAAAAAACCTAGCCGTTGTTTTGTTTCAACTTTTCCTGTCGATATTTTGTCGTTTCCTTCAACGATAAACAATAAAACGGTTCAATATACGATTCGCAGTGCTACATATTTCTCATTGTAAATGTAAACGAATTTTTTTCATTTCCAACGTCTTTTGAATAACATTTCATAAGGAATGAGGTAACTTTACCATTGATTACTCGTCATACGTAGATATTACATTGTGTAAAATACTCTACATTGGCTTTAAAGACCTTGGTTCATCAACTCTGCGTATATTTCTTCATATGAAAGTAATCAAACTAGCTGATCTGCCAGTGAAGTTTTAAAGAAAAGACATGGAACTCCTTCGAGTCTTATTTTTCTTGAAATCTTTATTCGATTCATAGGAGTTTTATTAAAGTAAATGGTTTGAACCCGGGAGTATCGTTACATGTTTGTAAATGTCGATTGTCCAGGTTGGTATAGTCGTGAGAAGGACTGTTTTTGTTATTGCTGACTGACGTTTCGACAACCTTAGCGGTAGTCATCTTCAGAGTCAAATTTTGACAACAACGAAAACAGTCCTTCTCAGGACTATACCAACCTGGACGATCGACATTTACAAACATGTAAGGAGTTTTATTATACGAGATTTGGGTCTTTAGAAAATTCAACAAGTTGATGTTTTGATTTGTGGTCATTTCGAATGGGATTTTCTGTCATTCACAAACTGGTGACGTGTTTTTTCTTCTGTCCAAGGACTCATATCCTGCTCGTTTGAAGAAAATTTTCATCATCTCCGCTCCTGTATGGTTCAAAATCTCCTTTAAAGTAACGTCGGCATTTCTAAAGGAGAAAATTCGCGAACGTGTTCAGTTTGCCGACGAGCAGAACATCAGGAACATCTACGACCAGAGTGTATACCTATGGATCTCGGGGGATCTTGGGATGTTGATCACGCGTGGATGTCGCGCTGCATCAGTTCGTACAAAGAGGGAAACTACGATGAACCGTGTTTCCAAATGACAGGAGAGTTAAATATTAACGATGATATAAAAGAAAAACAACAATCAAATAATGAAAGTGATACGCGCCATTGTGAACAGTCATCTAACACCGACAAACCGCCACCGAAGGAACGTTTGCCAAATACCATGATGGTATCAGAATTGCTGGCTCACATGCGGGAAAAAGGGCCAACTGGGTTGAAGGAGGAATTTGAATCACTACCAAAATATGATAGTAAAGCCTCCTTTGACGTTTTCAAGTAAGAGGACTTTATTAGTTTTCTGAAAGGAATTCTATCATTCTAACTTGATCTGCAAGAAAGAGACATTTGAATCGGTGGAGTTTTTCAAGATAATTCAGTTATCTAACTTTTCTCTTTCTTTTCAGAATGCCTCACAACAGGAACAAGAATCGTTATATTGACGTGATATGTTTGGATAATTCAAGAGTTCAAATTCCTCCCGTCGATGGGGACATGGTAAGTTTGATAACCGACGAGTACACCTATTGATAATGAAGTACACTTGTTGATAATGAAGTATATTGATTTATAGTTTAGTGTACCAATTGATGGAGAAGTATAGCTAGTAAAAATAATGTAGATCTGTTCGTCACGAAGTGTAGCCTTTGATAGCAAAGTACACGTATTGATAATAAAGTACACTTGATGATAATGATATATATTAATTTATATCGTCACGAAGTGTAGCCTCAAAGGAGATAAACTTTGTTATCTTTTTGAGCCCACTTATTGATAACAAAGTACACTTATTGATAATAAAGTACACTTATTGATAATAAAGTACACTTATTGATAACAAAGTACACTTATTGATAACAAAGTACACTTATAAATAAATAATACAGTACATGCATTTGTAAGGTTTAGTTTTTGAACCAAAAGTAATTTGAATGGGGATTTTGTAATATTGTAAATTCCTAGACAACGGATTACATTCACGCAAATTATGTGGATGGTTTTCATGGAACGAATTCTTACATTGCTGCCCAAGGTTGGTATCAAACATTCTTTATGTTGTTTGTGTACATTCTCATTTTGAACTTGTTAACTTTTAGGTCCCATGCCTCAAACATTCAATGATTTCTGGCAAATGATTTGGGTGACAGGAAGTGAAGTAATAATTATGCTTACAAAGTATGCTCTTCGAGACGACTCTTCGTTAAATGAAATTCTATTCTCCTAAGTTAAGTTGACTTTTTCGCCTAGGGAAATACAAAGAGGTCGTGTCAAATGTGGTCGTTATTGGCCTGAGCTCGGAGCCTTCAAAGAATATCGTCACATCGAAGTCAGCTGTTTGGAAGAAATTGGACGGGATCATTTTGTAACGCGGAAGCTATTGGTTAATAACTCTACGGTAAGATGTGATATTAGTCTTTAACAGAGATGGAAAACAATCTTGATGTTATTTGAATGATTTCAGACGGGCGAATCGAGAACAGTCAATCATTTTCAGATGATTAGCTGGCCAGATTTTGGCGTGCCCGACTCGGCTGAACCCATATTTCAGCTTAAATCAAGTGTTGATAATTTACACTCCCCTTCTCTTACGAAACGTGCACCGATTTTGGTTCACTGCTCGGCTGGTATTGGGAGGACTGGGAGCTACATCACTATAAGTGCTGGTATTGATTCTTTAATTAACACGTCCATGTGTAATGTTCAAGATACAGTTAAAAATATGCGCGCGCAACGGGCTTTGAGCGTACAGACTGCTGACCAATATGAACTGTGTTACACAGCGCTATTAGAGTTTGCGGCTCTTCACGTGACCAGTATTGATCCACGTGAAAAAATTGACATTCTCGAATTTTTAAATGATTGGAAACAATCTAACGAATCGAATAACTTTCAGTAGGCAGTAAAACAGTGAAACACTGTAACTGCCTCAAGTTATTCGTACGTTTGAAAGATTGAAAGAAATGGAAATACTATTTTAAGACAAGAGAGCGTTTTCTTATAATCTTCTAAGTACATCGTCTTCATAATTAATACGTCATTAACACCGCGTACTTTCAACATCATTATTCAAACTATGTTACTGTCTGGTAATTGTAAGATAATTTCAATAAGCCATTTTTGCTCTTTTTAAGTCTGCTGCCATTTCTACATTCCTGCACATCGACTTGTATTCCATCGAAGCTACATTCTTAAATTTTCCGACTTAATTCTCTTACATGTTTGTAGATGTAGATCGTCCAGGTTGGTATAGTCGTGAGAAGGACTGTTTTTGTTGTTGTTAACTGACGTTTCGACAACCTTAGCGGTAGTCATCTTCAGAGTCAAATGATGTTCTCATTCGCTAAGGTTGTCTAAACGTCAGTCAACAACAACAAAAACAGTCCTTCTCAGGACTATACCAACCTGGACGATCTACATTTACAAACATGTAACGATACTCCCGGGTTCAAACCATTTACTTTATTAATTTTCTTAATCTTATGTGTTTCTTTGTGGAGTGCATACAGTGCTGTAGAACTAAATTTATCAGAGGAGGGGGGGGCTCTCTTGACGTTTTTGTTAACAGTGCCCTTTAAAATTACCAATTTCAAAAGTAGAAGAGGGGCTCCTCCCCCAAGCGCCTCCCCCCCTCCACTTCTACAGCACTGAGTGCATACAAGTATGTACTTGAAGTTAAATTTTAGTCAACATTATGTCATAATTTCGTGGTAACATTACGTATGTCATAACGTATTGGTAAAATTATGTCATAACGTATTGGAAAAATTATGTCATAATTTCTTGGTAACAATACGTCATTACTTATTGTTAACATTACGTCATTACTTACACGAAGAAGGATGAATCTGATTAACATCTTATTTGCAATCATCCCTAAGCAATGTGTAATATTTTCAGCATGACGTAGCATAATTTTAATAAGCACACGTGTTAGCTACACGTGACTGTATTGTTCATAATCTATACAGTAATAAATCTTTATAAAGAAAACCAAGTTTTTCGACTGATTATGTACAGTCACTGTGTTTTTTAAAATAACGTGGTTTCAGTATTTATTGAGCTTTTACAGTAGATTTATTCTATGTGTTTATACATCATATACGTATTTAGTATTGACAAACATTAGTTGTGTAATGTATTTTATTTTAATCTCTGGTACCGGCAAACTTATCTTTATTTGCAGTCAACGGGGTGGAGGGAAATCATCAAAAATTGCATTTTGTACTTCTATTTATCAATTGTACAAACGATGAATATGTAAAATTACAGTCTTGAAAACATTTGGTGGACGATTCTATCACCTTTTGCCTGCGTACCTTACCGGCGGTACCGACTACTAAAAACATTCACACATCACAACAATTTAGCGCATTTCTCCGGAACTCTGCTTACAATTGTTTAATCAAAACTATCCTTAAATGTATATTTCCCATGATTAGATAATACCAATTGCGTCAGTGTGATTTTGCCGTACAATTCTTTATGTGTGGCCAAACAAAACAATGGCCAATATCTTAAATCGTGACGTAGTCAGAATAATCCGGGTTTTCTTTGTATGGAAGACTACAATCACGTGTTCAGTCAGTGGGATTTATTGAATTTTGTAAATAAGCAAATTTACAACAATACCCACAGACGATAGATCAAAGTCTTAATGTACATAATAAATACAAGGTGTTAAAATAAACAAAATTGTTGTGTAGATCAATGGCGAATCCAGGGTTACTCAAAATACAATACGGCTGATGATTTTTAATTCAAAATACCATGACAACAACGTTTTTGGCTAAAAATTTCCAAAGAATACTTTCGAGCCAAAATACGATTTTTTGTCAAGTGTTTTGAATTTTAAATACAGGCGTTGTTACATAACTAAGTATTTTTAACTCAACCTACATTCGCCATTGATGTGAGTGGAAGTTCGTGCAAATAAGTATACAGTTTGAAACTTTTTTTTACAGTAAAACTTGGGTTATATTTTTCCTGTTACAACAATGATGTCTGTGATAGTTATCATTATCCAGACTAATAAGGCCATGTAAAATATAATTGAACAATAGACACTCATTAGTAAAGTCTGAATACAATACCTAATGAGTTTGACAGGCCAAGTACGGCTGCTGTTTAGTTTCTAAACCCGTAATTTCCCTTTCCTATACCATTCGAAATAGATATCACGAAATATGGACTGTCTAGTGTGCTCACACTTGTGATTGGCTGAGCAAGTTGGATTTATAATCAGAACGTTAGTAACTTAATAGTGACCTGCACGAAATTCTTGTTCTTTTTTTGATGTGATTGCTTCATGATCTTATTTCTTGTTTAGCTTAGGGTGTTTTTCTTTATGCATATATGTCTGCCAACTGGCAGTACATGCTGATCAATTACAACCACAAACTGTGTTCAACGATTGATATACAGCAGTAACTGCCGTGATTAATGTGGGAATGTCGCAAGAGAGATTTGAGATCACACCATCTAAAGGAAGGGTCCATGAGTTATCGAAGATAAAAAATGTTGTTTATATCATTGCAAAACGTTTTCAAAGCTCTCTCAGTCAACAAAACATTAAACAGGCTCACTTCGTTAGGTCATTTTTTGATGAAAAGGAATGACGTCAGGTGTCTTAAATCTGAAAAATAAATGTGAAGCACTCGTGTTTACGAAAGATGTTGACATGCAAATGAGCGACAAGACTGAAGCAAATTGCATGTTTATTGTTATATTTGTCACATGATCTTGTCACATGCATAGTTCTGCGTAATATAATTCTGGTATTATGTAAAGTTTTCGCATTTTTATTTCTTGTTTATATAAATGGTTAAAATGCAAGAATGATTTAATGCATTTCATTTTAGTTATACGCATGAATAAAGCCCATGTGCACATCATATGTCTTTCTAGGTCGGTACCTGTAAATCGTCAGTGATTTTTTTCTTTGCATGAGTGTTCTGTGACCAGACTGAGTCATGCTTTGTTTTGTAATGTGTCTGACATCTCTGCATATTCTCAGCCTTGGTCTCCACTTGATTTTCATCTTGTTTTTTCAGTCAAAACTCACGTGATTACAACGTGAAAAATAAGAAGAAAATACAAGTTTTCTTGCCCTAATTCCTTGTCAGATTAGTCGATGATAGATTTTCACACCATATACAATAGGTTATCATGTCACAATTGCACTTTAAACCGTATTTTTGTGATGATCCAAGTTTAGTTTTGGAGGACTTTGAACCGTTTTTCATTTTGTAATTGTTGTTCCCTGGAAGGGAGTGATGTTGAAATGGCAATTCCAGATCAGTATTTTCGGATACACCTTAAATGCAATCATAACTTGCTGGTTTAATTTTCATACAAAATTCTAGCCGAAGTGCAATGCAAACGATATATAATGCTAAGACCTGCACGAGGCCTTTATAGATTTATCAAATAGTTGCTGCAATACAACAATACAATACATTTGACAATCTATATTAATTCGTTTTTCTACTATTTAGTTAATTGTAAAACGTAACTGTTTGATTCATAGTGGAAATGCGACACGATAATCATTTCAATAGTGCAAGGTATACATCTAGACCAATGACCATGCTGTGATGCTAGGTTGCTGAGCTTTTTCTTGAGTATCGTTCTTCATCATAACAATACAAAGAGCGTGAGGATTTTCATGAATATATATTTGCCATGCAAGCATGTTCTTTTCTTCGCCTAGCTTTAAAGCACTTTAGAATGCATTCTATCGTGAAAGATGTTTATAAACTACATAAACGAAACATCGTTTAGTTATGTCTGAAGATTATCGCATTTTAAATCGCTGATATTGCAGTATTTCGCTTATCCTTGCTTGCTGTAAGTCCATTTTCGATTTTGTCTCTTTATTGCTGATAAGTGTGCAGAATTCCAAGAAGATATTTATCCATGGTACAATATATGGCAATCCATCTAAGGCAAGTCCTTATCTCTCTTGTCAAGATATATGTACGCTCTCACGGTTAACAGCACGTTTTAATAAGAATATTTGACATTTTTGTGGTTGATAGAAGATGCTATCTTGACGAGTCACTCTTTTATTTCTTTATAAATCATCTGGATGTTCAACATAAACATAGGTTTATGTTTATTGTTTATAACCCTTTTGTTAGTAGCAGTTCTCGTTGATAAAGGTTCCCCCCCAAATCTTGTCTGCGCTCATCATTTTAGAGAGGTGTTTTAATCGAAACAAAACCACAGTTTCTTTCAGTTGAACGTTGTAGCTGTTTGAGGATTTAAGCAACCGAACAAATGAAAACATCTTATTGTTGGGTAATTATCTCATAAGAAAAAGATTTATTTATAAGTTTCTATTCTTTGAAAATTCCCCCACCTTGCTGCATTGTTATGAAGATATTTTAAAATTTAAATTGCCTGCTATAAGCAATGTAAACTAATGCTGTAACCGTTTCTGATTCGGGAGAAGCCAAAACTTAAAGATACCAAAGAAATATATCTTTTATTCCAGAAAATATATCTCATATTTTTTCAACAAGAGAAATTTCTCTATTGCAAAAAGAATTCAAGAAATTTCCTGAACGAGTCTATTTTGAATTTTAGGCATTCTGTTTAAAAAACATTTTTGAATTTTTAACGCTCTTTGTAAAACAATGTTTATCGTTTTACGATAAAAGACAAAACACAAATGTTTTCGTTGTTCTAAATAGAAAACGCTACGCTTAAATACTGTGTGAAATCGGTTAAACAATTTAAAAATTGTGCATGCATGAAGCTTAAACATTTGCATCGACGTGCTACTACGAACCAAAGACGTAAAGAAACGTTTGTGACGTCAACCAGACTAACCAATCAGGCGCAAGCTTTTAAATACATTATCGTCAGAAGGTGTTAAATATAGTTCTGTAGGAAGTGACCGAACAGTTCGTAAGAGTCTGTGTGTGAGAAGGGAAACGGAACATCAGCCGCAGATATTTTGAAATATAATTAAGATGGACGAACAACTACGAATAACAGAAGCTTTAGCACATGATATTGTGACATGGAAACTAGACGAAGAGATCATTACAACGCAAATGTCAACTTCGGTAAAGACGCTGAGAAGAATAGCATCTGACTTGGATGTCTCTCACGGAGACATATTTAGCAGCATGCTACAAGTAATATCAGAACAAGGGAAAGATATTCCCAAATCGTTTATCACAATTTCGGAGAACATGTTCTCAGATAATGTTGTCAACTGGGGTCGTATAGCCGTGCTGTTCACGTTCGCTGGACATCTTGCTAAATTTAGTAAAAGAAATGAGTTATTAGAGAGACCAGATGTTGTCTCAACGTGGCTAGTAGAATTCGTGAATGCCCACTTACTAGAGTGGATCGTGAAAGTTGGTGGATGGGTAAGTGTCAATAAAATTTTTTCACTAGAACTCCTATATATCGCTATTTAGCATTTTCCTGCCTTATTGGCTAATCGGCATCTTTTGCTGTTTCTTCCATGCATTCTTACGATATCTTGAATAGTTCGGGTCGCTCTGAAGGCAAATACGGCAGGGTGTGATATTTTGGTAATCTGTTCCTTCCTTCGTCCATACATTTTTGTCTCGATAAGATTTAAACCTACCTTGAGCATATATGACCTTTCATGGTAAACGATTTACGATGAACGTAGATGAACTTACGTTTGTCACTCACCCATATGTTGTACTGATGTACGCATTTTTTATTTGTACTTAACAATACCTGCTTTCTTAGCGTGAATCTTGAGTACTGTTGCCTAAAAATAATCATGCAAAGCGCCCTTGTTTCCAGCTTTTATTTTTCTAGAACCCATGTAATTTCCGTCTATAGTTGTTTTACTATCTCTATAGATTGGGAGTGAAGATTTTTTGAGACGGAAGTCTCTTAATCGGAGAGCACAAATTTCTACTATATAACGAAACTACTAGTATCGAAGGGAATTTCACACATCAAACATACTCTTATACGATATTGTGAAAGTTCTTGTGCATACATTTTCTCTCGCTGAGAGTGCTATAGGGTATTTTAGTATTCTTCATATGTTTTGATAAAGCTCCGGTTTTGTCTCAAATTTCTCTTAGGTTTAACGTGTTGCATGGGACTTAAACTTTTCAATATCATACGCTATTAATATAGTATTAACAATTTAAGCTTCAATAAGCAACCGGTTATGGCTCGTAGCTTATTCAGGTTTAGACTTAATACAAAGACAAATTGAAATCGAATACCAGCCGCTTTAGAGCTTCTGGTATTTTTCATGGGATTATAGTCTTCATTGTACAAAGATTTCGGATTCAACTCTTTGGCATCGCTAGGCGTTTTTCGCCGTGTGATTAAAATTTTATGTGGCGCTCATTCACCAGTTTTTTCATGATTAAAATTTTAAGAGATGCGTAAATTTGCATGACTGAAAGCTTTTTTGTGTTAATGAAAAATATGATTAATAATTCCTTTGAGGCCGACTCCCACGTCCGCGTTCGTTGAGTCTTCTTAAATTTATTCATACGCCAATTTATAATCAACAAAAATCGATATACAACGAAACCGTCAGAGCGTCCAGAAATCGAGATGACTAGAACCTTCTAAAGCGTCCAAATTAAAGAGAAAAGGCATCACGTTTAAAACTGTATTAAATTTCAGAAGTGGTTCTTTTCATCATCCCCGCGGTAATCTTACTCCTACTACACCTACAAACATTCATCAATTTTCATATATTTCCATATCATGGCGACACGCACGCACGTCTGGGTAAATAATTTTGATGTTTACCAGATAAATCAACGCCTTGATCTTGGTGGACGATTTCTTTGTTGATTGATAGTGTTTCATCGCATCGCTCGCTATTTTTCAAAGTTGGTCTTGTTTGGGCTTGTTTTTCCAGCCCGGCATTTCCTGTTTTCGACCAATGTTTATCCAGTTTCTACACTAATCCACTCTTTCCATTACCATTAATGGATTCATTAAAATTCTCTCCTTTCCTCTCAGACTGTTATTCTTACCAAAAACATACCTTCTCGTGGCCATCATCTCCCAAAATCTCGCAGATATTTACCTCTTGTGGTAAACCGCATCTTTTTGGCAATGCTACATACGTCCTTCGTTTCCTGCTGTTTGTCATGCGTTTAGTTGCATCATTACAAATCTCCTAGCTAACTAGAATTGTAATATAAGCAATTTGATTTACAAGTGTCTTGTTTGAACGAATACGGTGTAGCTCATTCGATTTATTTCTTCCATTTTACAGGAATCATTCAACGAGCATTTCAAAGATAAAAAAGAGAAACTTTGGATTAAAGATGGTATTTACTATGGACTTGCCGCTGGAGCAGCTGTAGTAGGAGCGGCTATGATATTTGCTAGATAACTCCTGCACATACCAAATCCTTCGTGTATCCTGCTTTTCGCCAAGAGAAAAAGGATATAAAACCACTGAAGACGAATACAAATCTCAATGTTATTCTACCCGCGCGCTTAATACTCGATTATAATTTAGCTCATATTGGTTAGAAAATCCTTTCAGCTGCTTTTTAGTCCTTTCTGTCGTTGGAGAGTTAACGCTTTTCATTCTTGATCTTTGCTTTATCACAGCGAATTTGATTTGGATTCTTTGGTACAAATTATAGATATTTATGATTAGAGTTTTCATGTTTTTCCATTAATAAAGAAACTGTTATAGTTTATTATTGTACATACATATAAAATATCTTCGAAAGAGCGCCATTCACTGACGTTTTGTGAGCTTTTAACATTTGATATAAACAAGTCTGTTGGTAATATTCAACTTCTTGTTTTATTGAGAATGCTTGGGAAAATGGTGGTTGCTTCAATTGAATTTTATCATCCTATTGGGTGTTTGACTATAGAAAACCACGTTATTTTAGAATGTGTGAAAAAATTTTAACGTCCAAACGAACTCATCGAGTGTTGGTAATATATTATAGTGTTAATGTAGAAAATGTATTTCAAAGATTTAAATTATTGTATATCATATGTTACACAATTCTGACAGAGTGAATAAAAATCATTTTTAGTCTTTTGATCATTAAACAAGTCGTAAAAAAATCGTCGGGTGTTGCCGAGTCTGGACCTTAACATCGACCTCAACAGTCTTTCAGCAGAAAAACAAAAGACGAATTTGCTGATTTCATCATTTCTTGCAGGAGTTGCTTGACAAACTTGTTTCGATTTCTACCTTGTAAGCATATTCAAATGATTCTGCTCAGCCATGAAAAGAAATGTATTGTTGCCTTCTTCTACGTCACAAGATAAATATTTCTGTCGCTCGGCCTTCCATCAAAACATTTGATTACCATTGCTATTGTTATGTTCTCAACGCTTCCAATTGGAGACATAAATTGTGTGATTTATCTTTCCTTGACAGCTACATTATTGTGCAAACTTTGATGAACTACTATGTAAAATTTACTCAAGGAACAAGGTCAATTTACAGGAAAAAGCATGTCCTCGAACCAGAATCATATGACTGCTATTGTGTGTTTACCTTAAAGCTATCGTCATGGTCAGAGGATTAGCACGAAACTACAATTGTAGGAAGTTTAAGTCTGCTCTGAAAAAAATAGTCTAAAATAGCATTAAAATAGTCAGAGCAGTAATTCTCTAACCAAGCGTGTCTTTGAATGTGTGTGTTAAGTGTTGGAGATGCCTCACTGTCTTTATTTAACGTTAATTTGATTTCCTTTTTCGTATTTTTATTATTGGAATGTGATGGACGTTAGCATCGGAACTATAAAACACAATTGGTGGCGGTAAAGTTTACCCTTTCTTGGTGTTAAAACGTTCAACTATTTAACGGTTTGACACATCAATTGTTTCTGGTTTTTCGCGTGCTAGCTGCATCGCCTTTTATGGCGAGAAAATTCACAAAAGAAATATCTTCAACATTTAATTAAGTTGAAGCCAAAAATGGGAAGAAACACACACAGTCTGCTTCGGATCTCCAAGATTGAACGTTGACAAAATTTTGTATGATACCACTTAGCGACAGCTGAATGTCTTAAGAGCGATTCTCAGTCAAAGATTATATTGGTCATTCTATAAAATGGATGTTTGCAAAGAGCAGAAACAGACATTTCTAGCATTTTTACACCGTGTGAAACCATATTGGCCCCTCACCTATCTCACCCTTCCTTATTTTGTAAATACCATTGTTCTGCCATATACGGGGCATAATGATATTGCTCTGTAATTGGAGTATGCCTTTTCGTGTTGGCTAACTTATAATGTGGTATTCACACGAATTTCTGATGTATTCTTAATATGATGTGTGATAGAGAACGGTAGACTACGAAGTTGTGATAACAGACAACTCGTTAGCAATCCTCATCATCCAATCAGAAGACTCACGCGCAAGCTTTCGACGCATGCGCATTGTAAGGACAAATCTACAACGCGAACACAGTTCATGCAAACTTATTTTACGATGTAAAATTTCCAATTGTTTGTTGGTCGACTGTTGCTGCTTGGTGCATGCATGTTGTAATTTGTGCCCTAACTTTTTGTCGTGCCTGAAAAGTTTTATTGCTTTTCACAAGAGCTGAATGTTTTCCTCTCTTAATTTCATTACTTTCAACAAACTTTTAACTTCATTTTTTTGCAGGTGTTTTCAAGTAGACTTATGAGTTATGGGAATGAAAATAGAACACCTTTCTGAAGTACTAGAGACTAAATTACTGCTACGTGACGACTTGCAGATGACTCAGAGTGTTCAAATATTTTTACATCACGTTGCGACTGTTAATTACAGTTGGGAAAGTATTCGATTGTCTCAAATTTGATGAATCTACGTACAAAATGCTGGTACATACATGTGTGGTACATACATGTTGTAATTTGTGCCCTAACTTCTTGTCGTGCCTGAAAAGTTTTATTGCTTTTCACCAGAGCTGAATGTTTTCCTCGCTTCATTTCATTACTTTCAACAAACTTTTGACTTCATTTTTTAGCAGGTGTTTTCAAGTAGGCTTACTTATGAGTTATGGGAATGAAAATAGAACGCCTCTCTGAAGTACTAGAGACTAAATTACTGCTACGTGACGACTTGCAGATGACTCAGAGTGTTCAAATATTTTTACATCACGTTGCGACTGTTAATTACAGTTGGGAAAGTATTCGATTGTCTCAAATTTGATGAATCTACGTACAAAATGCTGGTACATACATGTGTGGTACATACATGTTGTAATTTGTGCCCTAACTTTTTGTCGTGCCTGAAAAGTTTTATTGCTTTTCACAAGAGCTGAATGTTTTCCTCTCTTAATTTCATTACTTTCAACAAACTTTTAACTTCATTTTTTTGCAGGTGTTTTCAAGTAGACTTATGAGTTATGGGAATGAAAATAGAACGCCTCTCTGAAGTAATAGAGACTATATTAATGCTACGTGACGACTTGCAGATGGCTCAAAGTATTCAAATACTTTTCAAATATTCAAGTATTCAAATATTTTTTACATCACGTTGCGACTGTTAATTACGCTCGGCAAAGTATCCGATTGTCTCAAATTTGATGAATCTACGTACAAAATTTCAATATATACATATATATGTATTGTGTAGTGAATATAAAAAAGTGCATTTGTTGCCTAGCAACTATCCAAGATTAGCTTTTTAACATGCAAGTGTTGCTATATTTCTCTTGACTGCTCACAGTTTGAATTAATGCTTTTTTAAAATTTAAAGTGTTTTTGAACAGCGAAATTTGAATACGAGCCGATATTACAGCTCTACCTAGACGAACAACACAGATGTCTAATTAACGTGCAAAATATCCTTATTTGTTATTGTGTCTTATCTTGCTTGCAGTCTGCAACAGCACACGTTATTATCGCGTAGGTTAAATGAAGATATTTCACCCATATTGTTGCCCTTAATATAGTCATATTGCAATATTTCATGCTTGTCCGAATTTCGTGTGCGTCCTGCACGTGCGAAAAACGCACTGCACGTGCAGGACCTAATATACAAATAAACGAACTAATTATCCATGGTTTATTGACATATTTTACAGCATTTTTCTTTCATTTGTAACATTTATACCAAATTTTCATTTCGTTTATGACAATTGTTTTGCTATAAACCGAATTTCGTTTGGTGTCAGACCGGATAAGCACTCTGCTCGTTACGTTGTGTTATGCAAATCTTATATTATTTACTCTGACTTTGAAGTATGTATTTTCATATCTGTATTCAACCTGTCTACCGCAAAAGTCGATATTAAATCCCTGTCTAAGTTTTTATCTGCGAATATTGTTATTAATTCCATTTTTCTCCTGTGAACTAAAAGATTAATCTTCCAACAAATGTAAAAGCTATACAGCTTATAGTTCTACCGTCGATACACAATGATTTATTGCGCGTCAACCGTTCACAACAGGAAGCTACAGATAGATAGCAACGCAGACCTTGAATCAACTTTCCCTTAAATGAATGTCTTCCGTCATTTGAAGTAAAATCTTAAGTTTCAACTTTGACGTAGATTTCTAAACGTTGGCAGACATTTAGTGTTAAGCTTGTTATGTTAAGCAATAGCTAAGGTCATTCGTAATAAAATACAATTGATGTTGAAAGTCATTGCGTGCGTTCACTGTGGCTATGCGGAAACAAGACGTTTGCGAGTTCATCTTATGACGACGCAGAGTAAACAATGGCAACGCCGACAATTTTCAGTTCTTTCTCGTTAATGCCGTCAAACACCCTAAAATCTACTAAAAGTTACACTAGTAACTAGATTTTCATGCTAACGAGTTTCACTTTCGAGTCAACTAAGCAGAATAGAAAGGGGAAAATAATAAAAAAGGGGAATTTGCTAAAATGCTTCATCGACGCTACGTCATATGTGTTTGCATTCATTAAATTCCAACGAGAACCAATCAGATTTCAAGGTAGAAAAGTGTGTAAATTTGAACCAATCACAGGCCTCCTTGTTTTTACGTACCGGCAGAATTTCGAACGGAAGACGATTTATATAACAGTTAACAGAACTACACAAACGGCTTTGTGTAAGTGTATATGTTATGGCCGGGGCTGTCTGCCATAAGGTGAAAGATATCTTGACAACGGTGAACGAAAGACAACGATATGTTCGAAAGGACATTCTCGGGGGCTCTCGGCCCATATTTTTCCCAAATAAAAGAAATTGCGGCTGGTGGAAATGGACGAGTGATCTCGGCAATAGACACACGATACGGCTTCGCTGTGTGTATGAAAAAAATACCAGTTTCTAACAAGGATGAATGTCGATCGGCTTTAAGAGAAGTACGTATACGAAGGCGCTTAAAACATGAAAACATTGTCGGTCTTTTAAACGCTATCGTTGATGATGGTACCGATGTTTGCGAAATCAATTCAGCGAATTTCAGAGATACTACTTTCATTTACTTCGTCCAAGAACTACTAGATGCTGATTTAAGACAAGTTATCGAAAGCAATCCTCGGCTTTCCCCTGATTACGTGAAACTGATCTTTTATCAGTTGTTAAGAGGACTGAAATACATTCACAGCGCGAATGTGCTGCATCGCGATTTGAAACCGTCGAATGTTATGATCAACGTTAATTCATTGCAAATAAAGATCGGTGATTTCGGACATTCATTAGTTTTTGATCCGGAATACGTCCATGGTAATAAAAGCACTGCATCCGACACAAGTCAGTGGTATAAGGCACCAGAATTAATCCTTGGTGCAGGACAATACAGTCGTGCTAGTGATATTTGGGCTGCTGGATGTATTTTTGCAGAAATGATGTTGGGTCGACCTTTGTTCGAAGCTGAATGTGAATTGGATCAGTTGGAGTTGATTATCCATGCTATTCAAGTCACGCCCGATGAAGAATCTCTTGTAAGATCGTTTTTAACGAAAGAAGTCAATGCAATGTATACCGGAGAACCAAAATTTCCTTTGAAATCAAAGTTTTCTAACGTTGATTGTCAAGGTATGTAGCTTAATTACTTTTGCTATGTTTCTGATGTGCCATCAAGCACGATTTCCTTGAGCAAAGTTACCTTGACCTTTAATACAGGTTCTTTTTGTTTTACCTGAATTTATTTTTTAAACATATGTAAATACGGGGTGAAAGTCGTTCATATTAGCTGAGATTCTCGTCAAAATAGTCCGTTTGTTAAGATGTGAAATGTTTTTTTACTTTGTATTAATATTCGATTGAAATCTGACTCAAAATATTGTTGATTTTTGGTCACATAAATTGCGTAAGCGATGAGGTAATCGGTACTTTGCCCAGTTTTGACTGTAAAAGTTTTGTGTAACTTTTAGGACAATAGTATAGATTTGGGGAATTCGTGTGGATATTGTCGCAATCTTTTTGAATTAATTGAATCTGCGACATTCTCTTCCTAATTACCTTCCATCTAACATCTAGAATGTCAGGTTTAATATTATATAAATACAGATTTATCTGGTTTACCAATTGTAGCAACGGACATAACATTCGCGGAATTTAGCACGCGTATTGCATGCGCTCTCTTTATGATGCTGTGGTACTGTGCTATTGTGCTCCAAGGTAAAGTTCATGGAGATCGAAGTTTTTACGGATTGAACTCGTGAACAGCGTGTGTTGAAAATTCAGTTGAAGATTGAAAAATTTATCAAAGATAAACATCGGTTAACTGTCAAGTTCTAGTACCTTTTCCAATGCGACAACTATGCAAAAATATTTTTCCGGGTAAAGTTTGAATCGTTGAAAAGAAAATTGGATAAACCTTTTGTTTGTATTCAAAGTGAAACTGCGAATCCATGTTCAATCTTCCGTGGACTCAATAATCGACTTTGAAATAATATCAAGGATTTACAGCCTTACATGATATTTTTTTTACCACAAGTCGTTAATCCAAAAGACGCTCATTAGAATTCATAGTCCTTCGTTATATAATTTCCATACAATTTGTTCGTGATGGAGTTTGTCTGCAAAGTCATTTTCGATGTTATAGCAACAGACGTGGGCAGGGTGTATGTGTACGTGTGGGGATCTAGAAATAGCCTGCGATGATATCAACTGTCCACGCTCTTACGTAGTTCAAGTTATTTCTGACCCACGTCATCATCAAAGACGTCAGTTGAGCGTAGATTTATCGTATAACGGTAGAATTTAACGTCATTTATATCAAATTTTAGCATTTTCTTTCCAGGTTGAGCTTTCGTCTATTTTTAAACATTTTTACGTTGTTTTACGAGGTTTGGTTGTACGTAACGCCCTTTCATAATTTTTTCATACGAAAAAATGTTACTCTCACCAGTATCATTTTATCTTGTTGCCAAGCGACGATTTGTTCGAGAATGTTGATTTTAAGATCGCTATTGAATTCTTAATTTTGGGTGTATTTTGTTCCAAGAACATCTGCCGAGCGTGGGAAGTGTATAACCTACTGATTACATCTAAGTATGACATGAATTTTTATTAACGCTATCGCTATTCTCATCAACAAAGCTCGGTATTTCTCACACCTTAAACTATACGAAAAATGTCGTTGGCCTGTTTTATACTTTAAACCGAAGGAAATTCCTTTGACATTTTGTGTTTTATAATTCACACCACTGTTCCGGAATCCGTTAATTTGAAACATATTCTTGGAGTTTTGATTAGTGTTCGTTTCTTGATGGGGCTTTCAGTTTTTTTGAATCATCAAGTTTTGTGTTTTTCAAAATCTTTGACGAATAATTTCTTTCTCTTTCAGCAATTCACCTGCTTCAAAAACTGTTGTCTTTCAACCCCTCAGACCGCGTTTCTACCGAACTGGCGTTGAGCCATCCATTCTTGGCAGATTACGCATGCCCCGCAGACGAACCCGTTTGTTTGAAGCCCCTTCATCTTGAACACGAGGTCGATGATTTTCTCGAGTGCACTTTGAAGGATCTAATAGTGGCTGAATGCGTTGCATTTTCAGAAGAACAACCCGTGATACGTCATGTTATTTCCACTTGTTCAAGTATCAATGAACTTAAAGAAGAGAATGTTAGTCCAGTTGAAAGTGGACCATCGTCAACTCTAGGATCTATGTGTGATTCCAAACCTAATTGTGTTGACGCATTTCAGGTACTTAATGTCCAATTGGACAATGTCCAACATATGTAGTTTGATACTTTTGCATAAAGTGGCGAAATCTAATAACGCACGCAATAACGAACTTTGTTTTTGCATATATTCTGATAATCAGTTATGTTTAAATCTTAAGCTGTCTTTCGTGTTTATCAAAATGAAATATACTAGCACATTTAATTGTGATCTACCAATTTCTTGTGAGGATTTTACTAATTGTTATACTTCTTATGCGTAGGAGACCTGTGATGAAAGCAAGGATTGTCGTTTCAAAGTCCTTGAAGTGTTAAGAGAAGAACATGGTTCATCCAGTGACAGCAATGGTATTGCCACTCATGAAGAAGGCGTCAGCGAGGCACCGTTAGTTCTCGATCATCGAATGTTTAGTAGCTCAAAATGGGAGAAAGAACGACACAAGTCAGTTCATCGTCGTCACCATCATCACAGACGAAAGAAGAAACATCATCTTAAAAGTCCCACGGTTGAAACGGATACATGTACGCTGAAAAATATTCACGAATTTGAAATATGCAAGGAGAACAACGTTAATGATTCCGTTCCATGCATTTCTGAAGGAGGGAATCCGTTATCATCAAGTGAGACGCATAATGATACTGTACATGCAAATGTGGATGGTGAAAGTAATAAAATTCAAGATCCTACTCTTGCAGCGTTCCAGGTGATAACTGCGAATAGCCTACCATCCATTACAGACGTATGCTGTAACAGCTTGTCTCCTTGGTCATCTATCAACTGTGCTAGCTGCACTCTTTCTTCTGAGCAAAAACTTTACCACGAATGTGCACATCACTCCGTTAACGACGAAAGAGATGTTGTATCTGAGGTGACACATGATCAAGTCAGAGAAAATGAAAACGAGTCTAAAGTTGCAACGACACCTTCTCCCTCTTTTGACGATCTTGGTGTAGCTGATGTGATACAGCGATCTCAGGAACTTTTAGGTGATTTTTGTGTATGTAATAGTACATCTGAGAAGGATGCTGCTTCAAATAGAAAATTACTACGGCATTTTGATAAAAATGGTGCTGAACATTTAATAAAAGAATCTGAAGAATTACTTAACTACGGTATTAAAAATGAATGTAGACATGAACAATCCAATGATCGTTTTGATGTTACCAATGGTTCCTTGAAATCTGAGGAAATTTCATTCACCCAAATCTCTCAATATCCCGTCTTTACGAAGACTTTGACTGTATCTTGTGATTCAAGTTTATGTTCGAATGTGATTGGTGAACACCATGACAGAGAAGTTGACCAAGGCAGTGATTATACCACTAGTGTTATGCATCTTAAAGATACAGACAGAAGATTACAACAGCTGTTTCAAGAGTCGCATGATATGTTGGAAGGCCGTAAAGAAGGTCTTGTCTCCGAAAACCTTGCTAAAGATGAAGCGAAAGCTAGAAAGGCTGAGCAAGACATCGATTTCGATGAAATGAAAATCGTTCACTATCAAGCAAAACGTTTATTAGAACAAGCCAACAAGTCAACTGGATCTAACCAGGAGGATTTTTGTGAGAGAAATAAGAAAGATTTGGATATAGAAAGCGTTAATGCAACGATAGATAGAGATATTGCTGGACGAGAGGCACAAACTCACAAAGAAGTTGTCGTTGTTACTTCTTTAAAGGATTTGCCAAATCCTTATTCATCTCTTCTAAATCAACCTTCATTTCTTAATCTTTCGTGTGGATCCTTTCATAAGACATTAGAGTTTCAGAATAGCAAGACTAAGGATAATGATGTTGTTGATGTATGTGTTGAACGACTAATGGATAAGAACGATGCAATTTTCAATCGCGGTTTGGATAGAAACACAGAATGCCTAAATGGTCGTTCTTTTATCTCATGTCTGGATGGCATGTCTAGCAATTACTCAAAAGAGCTTAGGAGCATTAAAGATGGAACACTTCTAGCCAGCAACGTTTATAAGAAACTGTTCGATCATCAGAGTGGTATTATGTGTGACAAGAATGCTAAGAAAAACACGAGAGCGCAGCATTTTTATGATAATCTGAAGTTCAAGGCGATCATTCATCATAGAACTCACAGAGAAAAGCGTTATGACACTTATCCATTTTAAAAGATGTGAAACGTTTCTTTACGCAACGATCTTGTGCGAGACTTAACGGTGAAATTAAATCATTTTAAAAACGTCTCTTCGAAGAGGCTTTAAAAAATGCTCGGTTTTTCATTAATATCTTTCATTATTGCGATTTGTTTTCTTGTATCAATTTGAACATGTTTTAATGTTTGCTATATCTTGAACTTTTCACCAAAGTCTATGGTCTTGTTGCGTAAAGTAATGTTATAAAATAACTTCTAGGGCCTGCACGTATGGACACAATTTTAGGGAACTTTTCTTATATTATTTATTTATTTCCTATTTCGACCATTCAAAGTACATCTCATGTGGAAATGCAAGAGTGGTTCCATCACAAATTTTAATTTATTATAATATATTAAAAAGAGCTACGATCAATTTGTGTTTGTTTAATTATGATTTCCTTCCAAAGAATCATTTCCAACTTTCCTTATCCGTAGGTAATAAAAAAGTCACTCAGAAATTTTTTCTCTACCATTATGTAACAACGAAGTGTCAATCCGCTCAACATTGAAACACAAGGTGTGTAACATTGTAATTTATAACCTAGTTACAATGTAAATTACAACGTATGTAACAATACAACTAACAACGTTGTGGAATTTGTTCTTTCGCCTACGATTAAAAACTGGAAGTATATATACAACTACATTTGTTTCGGGTTTTTATTGAACTGAGAAAACGAAACTAGATAAATATCTTTTAAACTGACCAAGGTTTTGGATATTTTCTACTGCTGCACCTTCAAGTAAAGCGTATTTTCGTTTGCTTTTTAATCTATGCTTATTTTCACTTTCGATTCATGTTGTTTTCTTCGTAACCATATTTTCGTTCTGTGTTGGGAAGGAACAAATGTCTTGTCCATCCTCAAATGCATTAAAGAGAAAACAAAGTTTACAAGGTTGGATTTTGCGTTATTTAAGTATGAATTTAGATAAAGTTAGTGTTCTCGAGGATTGCACGTTTCTTTTCCATTGTGCAAATTATGGGGACATCTTACTATAGTTAAACTTAGTTCTTTTAAAATTTAAAATGTTTAATGATACTCTGTGAGTGTCAGTCTGTCTCAACATTTTCCTTCAGATTGTGAGCGACCATCGAAGAAGATGGCGTTACGATTCATCTTCTCTTCCTAAAGAATTTGGCTATCAGTTTAATGAAGGTAATAACAATGTATTTTGCTTATAACTACCATAAAATATTGTAAATGTGCTTGTCTTTCGTTTTTAAAGAAGGTCGTTTGCTAGACAAAGATGGCAATGTTTTTAATTTCTACATCAGTGATGACCATTCTAAATGTCAAAGGAATTATGAAGAGCTTGGGGAGGTAATATTCTTTTATGCAAAATATTAAAAAAAAAGTGTTTCAAGAAAGTCAATTGCTGTTGACTAGGCCATTACAGAATATGTGTATGAACTGTTACAAATGGAAATGGGATTGGTGTTACTTAAGATTGAAATTGATAAACCTTTCTTCTTTGGTAAAAGTAAAAAGGTAAGGCTTAATTTGTTGGAGTACTGAGAAAATCAAGTTATTGTCTTAGTCATGAATTTTTCATTTTAATTTGAAATAAGGAAGACACGAAAAGATTCATTTTTGTCAGTAAAGACTATGAGAAAAAAGAGAAGCTACTAATTTTGGTCCATGGTTCTGGTGTAGTTAGAGCTGGTCAATGGGCAAGAAGGTGATATTTGATTCTTTTCATGTTTGACTATCTTCATAACTGCATGATCATTCAGTAATTTCTTTTCAGGTTGATAATTAATGACTGCATTGATCATGGCACAATGATACCTTATATAAAACAGGCAATTGAAGTATGAAACCATTTTTTCTATTTTTGATTGATATCGCAGGTTGTGCAATGAATATTATAACTCTTAACTAGGAAGACTATGGTGTAGTGATAACAAATCATAATCAAAATGAAGTACTTGTAGATGTGGAGGGCAAGAAAGTCTACAAAGAAATTCAGGTAATTTATAACCTTTAGTTTAAGATTTGAAAGTTTGTTTATGTTTAGTCACTTTGTACAAAAGTTGAAAATTCAGTTTTTATGTTCATAATAGAGAGTATCTCCAGAAAAGCATTTTACTTATGTTTGGAAGAACATAATACAAAAGACTCAGGCTTCTAAAATTTTCTTTGTTGCTCACGATTATGGAGGTCACTTGGTTGTGAACAATGTAAGAAAATTGCTTTGAAGGATTTAATTTCTGCTGATATAGTTAAGGTCAAATCATTAAATTTGATCTTTGTCAGTTTAAGGATTATGAAAAAGACTTATTGGAACGTGTTGTGGCAGTTGCATTTACTGATTCTGTACACAGCCTTAGTTACACAAAACCTAAAATCAAACAGTGGTTTTTAAAGGTATGATTAATGACATTTTTCTCTGATATAGCTACTACAAAGACCAAGGGTGAAGGGTACCCTGCTTTATATGCACCATTTAAAAAAAACTGGAATTAGTTTGATAGATACTGTGCTGTTGACAAACATCACACCACCAAAGCATTTTTCTAACCACAAACCTTGATTTTTTCAATTGTTGATAAAACTGTAGATGTTATGTACATCCACCCCTTCCTCACATTAAAAATAGTGAAGCTATCCTACTGACAGCCTGAAATGTATAGTAAAGCAAACAATATGAGCATTGTGTATTTTAAAACTGAGAAGGTGGAAAACTTGTATTTTTTGCTATAATCATTGATAAAGCATCATCATAAAAAATTTTCTTTATTCCACAATTGTCTTTAAATATAAAGAATTCAAGGAACTGGGTTAGCTCATCTCATGAAATTGACACATCAATGCAATATCAAGAGGATGAAGATCACATCACACGTGTTTCAGCAGGTAATCATAGTGTCATTAATTTGTCAGTTTTAGTGTTGGTTTCTAAAGTTTTCTTCACGCACTGTAGGAACTTCAAAACATGAAGAAACATCTTGGAAAGCAAGGGAATCTATTTTCAAATATTTTCAAGATAGAGCAGCTCTCTTTGAGAATGATGGTAAATCACCTAAAGATAGCAATAATGAAAATAATTGTCTTGAACACAACAATTGTAGAAATGTTACAACTGCAGCAGATGATCAGGATAGAGATGAAGATACAAGTGCAACATCAGATAATCGTAATACAAATGTAGCAGATCTTCAGGGTAAAGATGAAGATACAAGTGCAACATCAGATAATCGTAATACAAATGTAGCAGATCTTCAGGGTAAAGATGAAGATACAAATGCAACATCAGATAATCGTAATACAAATGCAACAGATCATCAGGGTAAAGATGAAGATACAAGTGCAACATCAGATAATCCTACAAATGACAGCAGATCTTCAGGGTGATGAAGATACAAGTGCATATATAATCGTAATACAAATGTAGCAGATCATCAGGTAAAGATGAAGATACAAGTGCAATATTAGATAATCGTAATACAAATGTAGCAGATGATCAGGGTAAAGATGAAGATACAAGTGCAATATTAGATAATCGTAATACAAATGCAGCAGATGATCAGGATAAAGATGAAGATACAAGTGCAACATCAGATAATCGTAATACAAATGCAGATTATCAAGGTAGAGATGAAGAGACAAGTCCAACATCAGATAATCCTAATACAAATACAGCAGATGATCAAGGTAGAGATGAAGAGACAAGTCCAACATCAGATAATCCTACTACAAATACAGCAGATGACAAAGGTAGAGATGAAGAGACTAGTGTAACATCAGATATTCCTACTACAAAGACAGCAGATGGTCAGGGTGGAGATAAAGAGACAAGTCCAATATCAGATAATCCTAATACAAATGCAGCAGATCATCAGGGTGAAGATGAAGATACAAGTGCAATATTGGATAATCGTAATACAAATACAGCAGATGATCAGGGTGGAGATAAAGAGACAAGTGCAACGTCAGATAATCCTAATACAAATGCAGCAGATCATCAGGGTAGAGATGAAGATAGAAGAGCAATATTAGATAATCGTAATACAAATGCAGCAGATCATCAGGGTAGAGATGAAGATAGAAGAGCAATATTGGATAATCGTAATACAAATGTAGCAGATGATCAAGGTAAAGATGAAGATACAAGTGCAACATCAGATAATCGTAATACAAATGCAGCAGATGATCATGGTAAAGATGAAGATACAAGTCCAACATCAGATAATCGTAATACAAATACAGTAGATGATCAAGATAAAGATGAAGAGACAACCAACATCAGATAATCCTAATACGAATACAGCAGATGATCAAGGTAGAGATGAAGAGACAATTCCAACATCAGATAATCCATACAAATACAGCAGATTATCAAGATAGAGATGAAGAGACAAGTGCATCATTAGATAATCCTAATACAAATACAGCAGATGATCAAGGTAGAGATGAAGAGACAAGTGCATCATCAGATTATCCTTATACAAATACAGTAGATGATAAAGGTAGAGATGAAGAGACAAGTCCAACATCAGATAATCCTAATACAAATAAAGCAGATGACAAAGGTAGAGATGAAGAGACAAGTGTAACATTAGATAATCGTTATACAGATGTAGCAGATGATCAGGGAAGAGACAAATGCAACACCATCTAAAAAGATGGAGCTATGACAATGGAAGTATGTAAGTATGTAAGAAAGAGGAAAATGGTAGTGTATAAATTTCTGCTTAGAGAAGCAACATATTGATGCTGTGAAATAAATAACTGAAATATCCTTTGTAATAAACAAAACGGCAAACATAGTAATGTTTGCAAAAAACATCTTTTAAATACTTTAAAATGATTCTCATTATTTTCAATAGGATGGGACATTCACATTGTTTAAGACTATAGATAGTTGCTAATATTGAATAAACGATAATTTCATATTCTAATTAAAATGTTCAAAACCGTTGCCTGCTTGATCATTTCAAACAGTGAATTTACAAGACAACATTAAATCATAAAATGGAACTCTTCAATTCATGGAACAAGATCTCAAAGAAAGTAACGTAAAAGAAGGTTCCAGTTGCAATTGCTTGAAACACAGCAGAGAGGACATGTTCAGTAAAAGATGATGATTCATATTTCACCAAAAGTATGCCAATACCAAAACCTGTAAGACTTAGGGCAGAAAATACAAATGATGACCGGGCTATTGCTAGAGGATGATCGTATTCTTGCAGTGTTCCAGGTGATAACTGTGAACAGCTTGTCTCCTTGGTCATCTATCATTTGTGTTAGCTGCACTCTTTCTTCTGAGCAAAAACTTTACCACGAATGTGTGCATCACTCCGTTAACGACGAAAGAGATGTTGTATCTGATGTGACACATGATCAAGTCAGAGAAAATGAAAACGAGTCTAAAGTTGCAACGACACCGTCTCCCTCTTTTGACGATCTTGGTGTAGCTGATGTAATACAGCGATCTCAGGAACTTTTAGGTGATTTTTGTGTATGTAATAGTACATCTGAGAAGGATGCTGCTTCAAATAGAAAATTACTACGGCATTTTGATAAAAATGGTGCTGAACATTTAATAAAAGAATCTGAAGAATTACTTAACTACGGTATTAAAAATGAATGTAGACATGAACAATCCAATGATCGTTTTGATGTTACCAATGGTTCCTTGAAATCTGAGGAAATTTCATTCCCCCAAATCTCTCAATATTCCGCCTTTACGAAGACTTTGACTGTATCTTGTGATTCAAGTTTATGTTCGAGTGTGATTGGTGAACACCATGACAGAGAAGTTGACCAAGGCAGTGATTATACCACTAGTGTTATGCATCTTAAAGATACTGACAGAAGATTACAACAGCTGTTTCAAGAGTCGCATGATATGTTGGAAGGCCGTAAAGAAGGTCTTGTCTCCGAAACCTTGCTAAGTAAAGATGAAGCGAAAGCTAGAAAGGCTGAGCAAGACATCGATTTCGATGAAATGAAAATCGTTCACTATCAAGCAAAACGTTTATTAGAACAAGCCAACAAGTCAACTGGATCTAACCAGGACGATTTTTGTGAGAGAAATAAGAAAGATTTGGATATTGATAGCGTTAATGCAACGATGGATAGAGATATTGCTGGACGAGAGGCACAAACTCACAAAGAAGTTGTCGTCGTTACTTCTTTAAAGGATTTGCCAAATCCTTATTCATCTCTTCTAAATCAACCTTCATTCCTTAATCTTTCGTGTGGATCCTTTCATAAGACATTAGAGTTTCAGAATAGCAAGACTAAAGATAATGATGTTGTTGATGTATGTGTTGAACAACTAATGGATAAGAACGGTGCAATTTTCAATCGCGGTTTCGATAGAAACACAGAATGCCTAAATGGTCGTTCTTTTATCTCATGTCTGGATGGCATGTGTAGCAATTACTCAAAAGAACTTAGGAGCATTAAAGATGGAACACTTCTAGCCAGCAACGTTTATGAGAAACTGTTCGATCATCAGAGTGGTATTATGTGTGACAAGAATGCTAAGAAAAACACGAGAGCGCAGCATTTTTATGATAATCTGAAGTTCAAGGCGATCATTCATCATAGAACTCACAGAGAAAAGCGTTATGACACTTATCCATTTTAAAAGATGTGAAACGTTTCTTTACGCAACGATCCTGTGCGAGACTTACGGTGAAATTAAATCATTTTAAAAACGTCTCTTCGAAGAGGCTTTAAAAAATGCTCGGTTTTTCATTAATATCTTTCATTATTGCGATTTGTTTTCTTGTATCAATTTGAACATGTTTTAATGTTTGCTATATCTTGAACTTTTCACCAAAGTCTATGGTCTTGTTGCGTAAAGTAATGTTATAAAATAACTTCTAGGGCCTGCACGTATGGACACAATTTTAGGGAACTTTTCTTATATTATTTATTTATTTGCTATTTCGACCATTCAAAGTACATCTCAAGTGGAAATGCAAGAGTGGTTTCCATCACAAATTTTAATTTATTATAATATATTAAAAAGAGCTACGACAATTTGTGTTTGTTGAATTATGATTTGCTTCCCAAGAATTATTTCCAACTTTCGTTATCCGTACGTAGTAAAAGTCATTCAGAAATTTTTTCTCTACCATTATGTAACAACGAAGTGTCAATCCGCTCAACATTGTAACACAAGGTGTGTAACATTGTAATTTATAACCTAGTTACAATGTAAATTACAACGTATGTAACAATACAACTAACAACGTTGTGGAATTTCTTGTTCTTTCGCCTACGATTAAAAACTGGAAGCAAATATACAACTACACTTGTTTCGGGTTTTTATTGAACTGAGAAAACGAAACTAGATAAATATCGTTTAAACTGACCAAGGTTTTGCATATTTTCTACTGCTGCATGTACTGTAGGTCGTTTCCTTCAAGCAAAGCGTATTTTCTTTTGCTTTTTAATCTATGCTTATTTTCACTTTCGATTCATGCTGTTTTCTTCGTAACCATATTTTCGTTCTGTGTTGGGAAGGAACAAATGTCTTGTCCATCCTCAAATGCATTAAAGAGAAAACAAAGTTTACAAGGTTGGATTTTGCGTTATTTAAGTATGAATTTAGATAAAGTTAGTGTTCACGAGGATTACACGTTTCTTTTCCATTGTGCAAATTATGGGGACATCATACTGTAGTCAAACTTAGTTCTTTTAAAATTTAAAATGTTTAATGATACTCTGTGAGGGTCAGGCTGTCTCAACATTTTTCCTTTAGATTGTGAGCGACCATCGAAGAAAATGGCACGTTATGATTCATCTTCTCTTCCTAAAGAATTTGGCTATCAGTTTAATGAAGGTAATAACAATGTATTTTGCTTATAACTACCATAAAATATTGTAAATGTGCTTGTCTTTCGTTTTTAAAGAAGGTCGTTTGCTAGACAAAGATGGCAATGTTTTTAATTTCTACATCAGTGATGACCATTCTAAATGTCAAAGGAATTATGAAGACCTTGGGGAGGTAATATTCTTTTATGCAAAATATTAAAAAAAAATGTTTCAAGAAAGTCAATTGCTGTTGACTAGGCCATTACAGAATATGTGTATGAACTGTTACAAAATTATATGGGATTGGTGTTACATAAGATTGAAATTGATAAACCTTTCTTCTTTGGTAAAAATAAAAAGGTAAGGCTTAATTTGTTGGAGTACTGAGAAAATAGAGTTATTGTCTTAGTCATGAATTTTTCATCTTAATTTGAAATAAGGAAGGCACGGAAAGATTCATTTTTGTCAGTAAAGACTACGAGAAAAAAGAGAAGCTACTAATTTTGGTCCATGGTTCTGGTGTAGTTAGAGCTGGTCAATGGGCAAGAAGGTGATATTTGATTCTTTTCATGTTTGACTATTCATAACTGCATGATCATTCAGTAATTTCTTTCAGGTTGATAATTAATGACTGCATTGATCATGGCACAATGATACCTTATATAAAACAGGCAATTGAAGTATGAAACCATTTTTTCTATTTTTGATTGATATCGCAGGTTGTGCAATGAATATTATAACTTTTAACTAGGAAGACTATGGTGTAGTGATAACAAATCATAATCAAAATGAAGTACTTGTAGATGTGGAGGGCAAGAAAGTCTACAAAGAAATTCAGGTAATTTATAACCTTTAGTTTAAGATTTGAAAGTTTGTTTATGTTTAGTCACTTTGTACAAAAGTTGAAAATTCAGTTTTTATGTTCATAATAGAGAGTATCTCCAGAAAAGCATTTTATTTATGTTTGGAAGAACATAATACAAAAAACTGAGGCTTCTAAAATTTTCTTTGTTGCTCACAGTTATGGAGGTCACTTGGTTGTGAACAATGTAAGAAAATTGCTTTGAAGGATTTAATTTCTGCTGATATAGTTTAGGTCAAATCATTAAATTTAATCTTTGTCAGTTCAAGGATTATAAAAAAGACTTATTGGAACGTGTTGTGGCAGTTGCATTTACTGATTCTGTACACAGCCTTCGTCACACAAAACCTAAAATCAAACAGTGGTTTTTAAAGGTATGACTAATGACATTTTTCTCTGATATAGCTACTACAAAGACCAAGGGTGAGGGGTACCCTGCTTTATATGCACTATTTAAATAAAACTGGAATTAGTTTGATAGATACTGTGCTGTTGACAAACATCACACCACCAAAGCATTTTTTTAACCACAAACCTTGATTTTTTCAATTGTTGGTAAAACTGTAGATGTTATGTACATCCACCCTTCCTCACATTAAAAATAGTGAAGCTATCCTTCTGACAGCCTGAAATGTATAGTAAAGCAAAACAATATAAGCATTGTGTATTTTAAAACTGAGAAGGTGGAAAACTTGTATTTTTTTGGTATAATCATCGATAAAGCATCATCATTAAAGTTTTCTTTATTCCACAATTGTCTTTAAATATAAAGAATTCAAGGAACTGGGTTAGTTCATCTCATGAAATTGACACACCAATGCAGTATCAAGAGGATGAAGATCACATCACACGTGTTTCAGCAGGTAATCATAGTGTCATTAATTTGTCAGTTTTAGTGTTGCTTTCTAAAGTTTTCTTCATGCACTGTAGGAACTTCAAAACATGAAGAAACATCTTGGAAAGCAATGGAATCTATTTTCAAATATTTTCAAGAGAGAGCAGCTCTCTTTGAGAATGATGGTAAATCACCTAAAGATGGCAATAATGAAAATAATTGTCTTGAACACAACAATTGTAGAAATGTTACAACTGCAGCAGATGATAAAGGTAGAGATAAAGATACAAGTGCAACACCAGATAATCCTAATACAAAGACAACAGATGATCAGGGTGGAGATAAAGAGACAAATGCAACACCAGATAATCCTAATGCAAAGACAACAGATGATCAGGGTGGAGATAAAGAGACAAATGCAACACCAGATAATCCTAATGTAAAGACAGCAGATGATCAGGGTGGAGATAAAGAGACAAATGCATCACCAGATAATCCTAATGCAAAGACAACAGATGATCAGGTGGAGATAAAGAGACAATGCATCACCAGATAATCCTAATGCAAAGACAACAGATGATCAGGGTGGAGATAAAGAGACAATGCAACACCAGATAATCCTAATGCAAAGACAACAGATGATCAGGTGGAGAAGAGACAATGCAACACCAGATAATCCTAATGCAAAAGACAGAAGATGATCAGGTGGGATAAAGAGACAAATGCAACCCAGATAATCTTAAACAAAGACAACAGATGATCAGTGTGAGATAAAGAGACAATGCAACACCAGATAATCTTAATACAAAGACAACAGATGATCAGGGTGGAGATAAAGAGACAAATGCATCACCAGATAATCCTAATGCAAAGACAACAGATGATCAGGGTGGAGATAAAGAGACAAATGCATCACCAGATAATCCTAATGCAAAGACAACAGATGATCAGGGTGGAGATAAAGAGACAAATGCAACACCAGATAATACTAATGCAAAGAAAGCAGATGATCAGGAGATAAAGAGACAATGCATCACCAGATAATCCTAATGCAAAGACAACAGATGATCAGGGTGGATATAAGAGACAAATGCAACACCAGATAATCCTAATGCAAAGACAACAGATGATCAGGTGAGATAAAGAGACAATGCAACACCAGATAATCCTAATGTAAAGACAGCAGATGATCAGGGTGGAGATAAAGAGACAAATGCATCACCAGATAATCCTAATGCAAAGACAACAGATGATCAGGTGGAGATAAAGAGACAATGCAACACCAGATAATCCTAATGCAAAGACAACAGATGATCAGGGTGGAGAAGAGACAATGCATCACCAGATAATCCTAATGCAAAAGACAACAGATGATCAGGGTGGAGATAAAGAGACAAATGCATCACCAGATAATCCTAATGCAAAGACAACAGATGATCAGGGTGGAGATAAAGAGACAAATGCATCACCAGATAATCCTAATGCAAAGACAACAGATGATCAGGGTGGAGATAAAGAGACAAATGCAACACCAGATAATCCTAATGCAAAGACAACAGATGATCAGGGTGGAGATAAAGAGACAAATGCAACACCAGATAATCTTAATACAAAGACAACAGATGATCAGGGTGGAGATAAAAGACAAATGCAACACCAGATAATCTTAATACAAAGACAACAGATGGTCAGGGTGGAGATAAAGAGAATGCAACACCAGATAATCTTAATACAAAGACAACAGATGATCAGGGTGGAGACAAAGAGACAAACCAATGCAAACCTAATACAAAGACAGCAGATGATCAGGGTGGAGATAAAGAGACAAATGCAACACCAGATAATCCTAATACAAAGAAAGCAGATGATCAGGGTGGAGATAAAGAGACAAATGCAACACCAGATAATCTTAATACAAAGAAAACAGATGATCAGGGTGGATAAAGAGACAAATGCAACACCAGATAATCTTAATACAAAGACAACAGATGATCAGGGTGGAGATAAAGAGAAAATGCAACACCAGATAATCTTAATACAACAGATGATCAGGGTGGAGATAAAGAGACAATGCAACACCAGATAATCTTAATACAAAGACAGCAGATGATCAGGGTGGAGATAAAGAGACAAATGCAACACCAGACAATCTAATACAAAGACAGCAGATGATCAGGTGGAGATAAAGAGACAAATGCACACCAGACAATTGTAATACAAAGACAACAGATGATCAGGGTGGAGATAAAGAGACAAATGCAACACCAGATAATCCTAATGCAAAGACAGCAGATGATCAGGGTGGAGATAAAGAGACAAATGCATCACCAGATAATCCTAATTCAAAGACAACAGATGATCATGGTGGAGATAAAGAGACAAATGCATCACCAGATAATCCTAATGCAAAGACAGCAGATGATCAGGGTAGAGATAAAGAGACAAATGCAACACCAGATAATCCTAATGCAAAGACAACAGATGATCAGGGTGGAGATAAAGAGACAATGCAACACCAGATAATCCTAACAAAGACAGCAGATGATCAGGGTGGAGATAAAGAGACAAATGCATCACCAGATAATCCTAATGCAAAGACAACAGATGATCAGGGTGGAGATAAAGAGACAATGCATCACCAGATAATCCTAATGCAAAGACAACAGATGATCAGGGTGGAGATAAAGAGACAATGCATCACCAGATAATCCTAATGCAAAGACAACAGATGATCAGGGAGATAAAGAGACAATGCAACACCAGATAATCCTAATGCAAAGACAACAGATGATCAGTGAAGAGATAAATGACAAATCACCAGATAATCCTAATACAAAGACAGCAGATGATCAGGGTGAGATAAAGAGACAAATGCAACACCAGATAATCCTAATACAAAGAAAGCAGATGATCAGGGTGGAGATAAAGAGACAAATGCAACACCAGATAATCTTAATACAAAGACAACAGATGATCAGGGTGGAGATAAAGAGACAAATGCAACACCAGATAATCTTAATACAAAGACAACAGATGATCAGGGTGGAGATAAAGAGACAATGCAACACCAGATAATCTTAATACAAAGACAACAGATGATCAGGTGGAGATAAAGATTAAATGCAACACCAGATAATCTTAATACAAAGACAGCAGATGATCAGGGTGGAGATAAAGAGACAAATGCAACACCAGACAATCGTAATACAAAGACAGCAGATGATCAGGGTGGAGATAAAGAGACAAATGCAACACCAGACAATTGTAATACAAAGACAACAGATGATCAGGGTGGAGATAAAGAGACAAATGCAACACCAGATAATCCTAATGCAAAGACAGCAGATGATCAGGGTGGAGATAAAGAGACAAATGCATCACCAGATAATCCTAATTCAAAGACAACAGATGATCATGGTGGAGATAAAGAGACAATGCATCACCAGATAATCCTAATGTAAAAGACAACAGATGATCAGGTAGAGATAAAGAGACAATGCAACACCAGATAATCCTAATGCAAAGACAACAGATGATCAGGGTGGAGATAAAGAGACAAATGCAACACCAGATAATCCTAATGTAAAGACAGCAGATGATCAGGGTGGAGATAAAGAGACAATGCATCACCAGATAATCCTAATGCAAAGACAACAGATGATCAGGTGGAGATAAAGAGACAATGCATACCAGATAATCCTAATGCAAAGACAAAGATGATCAGGGGGAGAAGAGACAAATGCAACACCAGATAATCCTAATGCAAAGACAGAAGATGATCAGGGTGGAGATAAAGAGACAATGCATCACCAGATAATCCTAATGCAAAAGACAACAGATGATCAGGGTGGAGATAAAGAGACATCACCAGATAATCCTAATGCAAAGACAACAGATGATCAGGTGGAGATAAAGAGAAATGCAACACCAGATAATCCTAATGCAAAGACAACAGATGATCAGGGTGGAGAAGAGACAAATGCAACACCAGATAATCCTAATGCAAAGACAGAAGATGATCAGGGTGGAGATAAAGAGACAAATGCAACACCAGATAATCTTAATACAAAGACAACAGATGATCAGGTGGAGATAAAGAGACAAATGCAACACCAGATAATCCTAATACAAAGACAGCAGATGATCAGGGTGATAAAGAGACAAATGCAACACCAGATAATCTAATACAAAGACAACAGATGATCAGGTGGAGATAAAGAGACAAATGCAACACCAGATAATCTTAATACAAACACAACAGATGATCAGGGTGGAGATAAAGAGACAAATGCAACACCAGATAATCTTAATACAAAGACAGCAGATGATCAGGGTGGAGATAAAGTGACAAATGCAACACCAGACAATCGTAATACAAAGACAGCAGATGATCAGGTGGAGATAAAGAGACAAATGCAACACCAGACAATTGTAATACAAAGACACATCAGGGAGATAAAGAGACAATGCAACACCAGATAATCCTAATGCAAAGACAGCAGATGATCAGGGTGGAGATAAAGAGACAATGCATCACCAGATAATCCTAATGCAAAGACAACAGATGATCAGGTGGAGATAAAGAGACAATGCATCACCAGATAATCCTAATGCAAAGACAACAGATGATCAGGGTGGATATAAAGAGACAAATGCAACACCAGATAATCCTAATACAAAGACAGCAGATGATCAGGTGGAGATAAAGAGACAAATGCAACACCAGATAATCTTAATACAAAGACAACAGATGATCAGGGTGGAGATAAAGAGACAAGTGCAACACCAGATAATCCTAATACAAAGACAGCAGATGATCAGGGTGGAGATAAAGAGACAAATGCAACACCAGATAATCTTAATACAAAGACAACAGATGATCAGGGTGGAGATAAAGAGACAAATACAACACCAGATAATCCTAATACAAAGACAGCAGATGATCAGGGTGGAGATAAAGAGACAAGTGCAAAACCATGTAAAAAGATGGAGATATGACAATGAAAGTACGTAAGAAAGAGGAAAATGGCAGTGTATAAATTTCAGCTTAGAGAAGTAACATATTGATGCTGTGAAATAAATAACTGAAATATTCTTTGTAATAAACAAAACAGCAAACATAGTAATGTTTGTAAAAAACATCTTTTAATACTTTAAAATGATTCTCATTATTTTCAATAGGATGGGACATTCACATTGTTTAAGACCATAGATAGTTGCTAATATTGAATAAACGATAATTTCATATTCTAATTAAAATTTTCAAAACCGTTGCCTGCTTGATCATTTCAAACAGTGAATTTACAAGACAACAATAAATCATAAAATGATCAAACGTTTCTCATTAATATCTTCATTATATATCACTCTTAAAGAACTCAACAATGGCCACAACACCATAACCCAACACCAAAGAGAAAAGCTTTACCAATCTATGACAATCTTTACTGTTCAATTCATGGAACAAGATCTCAAAGAAAGTAACGTAAAAGAAGGTTCCAGTTGCAATTGCTTGAAACACAGCGGAGAGGACATGTCCAGTAGTAGATGATGATTCATAATTCACCAAAAGTATGCCAATACCAAAACCTGTAGGACTTAGGGCAGAAAATACAAACGATGACCGGGCTATTGCTAGAGGACGAAAATCTTGTTGGACCATATTTACACCAAGTGAAAATGCCAAAAGGCACTTGTGAACTATTACTGGGCCTAAAACTCCGATCATTTTATCAACTTTATGAAATAATCCTATAGCTAGACCTTCAAACAATGCATGGACGGATAATGCAATGAACAAGATATAAGTACTAAGATAATGTCGAAAGTTGTGGTGTTTCTTTTGTAGGTTGGCTAACAGAGGATCTGGCTCATCGTCAATTTCAGCGAGATCATTTTGAGTGTTATCACCATTCAATTGACCGAGATTTTCGGCCATAGCATGTATATTGTCATCACTTTCTCCATTTTCAAGCATCGTAGAACTTCCTGGTCGAGCACTTTTCCGATCGCCATTTCTTAACAAGGGAGTTTTGCTGTTTGGTACATACAGATGGCTATGTTCACGTGATTCTTGGCCCTCTTGCGTCGCATGTACTATTTGCTCGATGAACAAAACAATAAAAAATCCAACCGAAACACCGAATTCTGCTAGTGGATACTTCGAATTTTTGCCTTTTAAAATATACTTAAAATCGTCATCGACTGTCGGCAAAAGTTCCAACATACTTGAGGCAAAGAACGCTCCACCAGCGAAGCACATACCCAAGCTCAACAGTTGTTTCCGTCTCTGATTTCGTTTACTTCTCCTCGTCAAATCACTTGGTGTCCTCTCGACATCCTTTTTATCGCGAAGAAATAAGGGCAATAAACCTGCGGCAAACGTTACGAGGAATAAAGCACAAAGTGATATTATTTTCACAGCAAGAGTATGTTCCATTTTAAAAAATTATTTCTCCACGTCCGTATTTAAGGTTATCCCGTGATGGCGTTCATTAAACGAAAATAGTACGTTTGCTTCGTTGTACAAGAAAAGGCAGAACAGAAATAGGAAATATGAGATGCATTGTTTTGAAACAACACAATCCAATATCGAAAATTAAGGCAGCCTAACGAACGAACGATTTATCAGATTATGATTTGTTAGATTATGGATTTCTCACTTTGATCAGATCGAGGCTTAAAGACTTGTAAATTGAATTGAAATCAAACCAGATTGCCATGGAAAATAAGACGAAGACTAATTATTTAACGAAGAAGCGAGATTGTCTTTCTTGCTCGTTCTTAAATTAGTAACAGTGTAAATTATTAAGAAGCACTTTTTGAAGTCTTGCAGAAAGAAAAAATCCAACTATTCTTTAGTTTCAAAGTTCAACTTAAGGAAAAACATTTTTTTTCATTGTCTAGTACCTTGAGCTTACTGTTTTCAAACTGTAATTTTTTAATAATTGTATTTTCGTGTTGTTTCATTTCATACGAGCCTCGGGCTAGATCCTGAGGGAAGTGACTGACCTTGCTGGCTTTAAGCCTTTGGCAATATTCTTGACCCTTACATCAGATCAAGATTACTTGATCTTAGATAAGATCACATGATCCATGATGTCATGACCGCTAGAATCCCGCGTGAGCCACACGCAACAAATCAAAACACCATTGATAAAAGTCAATGAACTTTTGTTGTTCGGTGATAAATATTTTCTAAAAGATTTTCATCATAATTTTGCTGTGTATGAACTGCTAAAATGACTCGTAAGTTTTATATTTGAAGTTGCAAACAATTTAGTTGTAACTAGGCTAAGTAGAAAATGTACAATAAGGCTAATATGTAATACCGTTTATTAATATTTTATTTCTACCGTTAAATTAACCGGAGAAATCACAATATTATCACCTTAACATAAACAATTATGTAACTTCTTGAAAGAATTTCTAATTTTTACCAAAATTTCATTAAAATCATTAAGCTATGTGAGCTGTAATAGATGAAAAAGTACTTGTTTCTTGATGTAATTGAAAATATTTCAGTTGATGAATACTGGTACATCACTCATGTCAAATATTGTGTTAGGTGGAAATCAAAGGGAACTTGCTCGAGCCAAGAATCTCAAAAAACAACAAGCTGCGGGAAAGACCAAAAAGGGAGAAGAAAAAGATGGTAATAAGGGGGCAAATCTTGTCAAAAGACAGGAAAGGTACACAGTTAATTTAGTGTATCTTAATGAAGTCAAATTCCTTATGAAAGGCTTGAACTTTTAGAGATGCAGAAGTGATGAGATTGAAACAGCAGAAAGCTGCTGAAAAAAAGGCTGCGGCAGATGGAGCAAGCTCTTCAAAGAAATGATAAAAAGATAGGTTCTTTTCTTTTAGTTAACAATATTATTTGCGACACCAATATATATCTAGTAAAGTGCTCTTTCTTCGTCAATGGTAATGTAGCCATTTGTTTACAGACTGTAGAATGAATCCATCTCTCGGGGGATGGATTATGCTTCCCTGGCTATTTTGCTTTTAAAAAATTTTTTCATTGTGAGAGAGGGAATGACTAAAAAAAGAAAATTACATGTATGATGTATTGTATTATAAAGTAAAGTAAGATGGACAAATAAATGTTTGGTGATGTTTATTGTAGACAGAATATTGCCAAACAGAAAATATGCACTTGGTTCGTTTTCGATGAGAAACATCACGTTCTTTTGTATTTCAAAACACAATGAGAAACGTCACGTGGTTTTGTATTTCGAAACACAATGAGAAACGTCACGTGGTTTTGTATTTTAAAACACAATGAGAAACGTCACGTGGTTTTGTATTTCGAAACACAATGAGAAACGTCACGTGGTTTTGTATTTCGAAACACAATGAGAAACGTCACGTGGTTTTGTATTTTAAAACACAATGAGAAACGTCACGTGGTTTTGTATTTTAAAACACAATGAGAAACGTCACGTGGTTTTGTATTTTAAAACACAATGAGAAACGTCACGGGGTTTTGTATTTTAAAACGCAATGAGAAACGTCACTGGGTTTTGTATTTTAAAACACAATGAGAAACGTCACTGGTTTTGTATTTTAAAACACAATGAGAAACGTCACGGGGTTTTGTATTTTAAAACACAATGAGAAACGTCACTGGTTTTGTATTTTAAAACACAATGAGAACGTCACGGGGTTTTGTATTTTAAAACACAATGAGAAACGTCACGTGGTTTTGTATTTTAAAACACAATGAGAAACGTCACGGGGTTTGTATTTTAAAACACAATGAGAAACGTCACGTGGTTTTGTATTTTAAAACACAATGAGAAACGTCACGTGGTTTTGTATTTTAAAACACGATGAGAAACGTCACATGGTTTTGTATTTTAAAACACAATGAGAAACGTCACGTGGTTTTGTATTTCGAAACACGATGAGAAACGTCACGTGGTTTTGTATTTCGAAACACAATGAGAAACGTCACGTGGTTTTGTATTTCGAAACACGATGAGAAATATCACGTTCTTTTGTATTTCAAAGCACGATGAGGAACATCACGTTGTTTTGTATTTCAAAACACGATGAGAAATATCACGTTGTTTTGCGTTTTAAAACACGATAAAAACACCACGTTGTTTTGTATTTCAAAACACGATACAAAACACCACGTTGTTTTGTATTTCAAAGCACGATAAAAATCATCACGTTGTTTTGTATTTTAACACGCGCGGTTTGTATAAATACACTTGTCGTCTTGTCGATTGAATAATGATGCTTTTTAGCCTTGCAATTATTTCTCTATTTATTAAATTTAATCTGCATGACGCAGCTGCTTTGCCTTACGAGTTAAAGGAAGACCGAAGCCATCGTCACGTTCTCTCGATTGCAGACGTAAAAAAAACCGAAGTGAGCAAACGTTAAGCAAAATAAAACGACGGTGAATAAATTTGATCGAAAAATTTGATGCTCAGTTTGTAGAATCGACAGAGCTACGTTGCTATAATACATATTTCCCGTTGCTTATATACATTAGGGGGATAAATTATATTTCAGCTGGTTGTACATGTTGTCATTGTTGTCCTGTACAAGCTCGTTGCTATCGATTCCACGCTACAGTCGAGATTAAGCTATCTTAACCATGCCCATCAGTTCGAGATTTTTTGAGTGCCATATCAACTATCTCGTTAATCTTGCTCGGGAGGAGCCAAGACTTGCTGGAGGATTGCTAACGAAAGACGCAGAACATGGCTCTTCGAAGTGGTCAAAACGTTGGGTAATTTTGTATCAGAATTTTTTATTCACTTTTGAGAATTCATCCAGCGGGAAGCCTCTAGGAATGATTCTCCTAGAACATTGTACAATCGACTTGTTGTCTATGACAAGACTTCGGGATCTATCTTGTAAGGTAATCGTACCATTATTATTTAATAGCGTAGTTTTTCGTTGCGTTTTAAGTGCATCAAGTGGCAGAGTGAACAAATTATTTCGAAATTTCAAACATCTAAATGATTGCGATATTCTTTCGTGAGACACGTAATCTCATGTATCTTATTCATTAATTTTTTTTTGTAAGTACACAACGATTTTGTTGGGGGACTTTTTGCTAATTTCTAAGAAGTTGTTAATATTTGTTTTAGTGATATGTCTTTCTACCTCTCTCTAGTTGTCTAGCCCTCTTTGTGTGTGTGTATGTTTTATACATTAGAGCAGTTTCGTTATCGTTAATAGAACTCAAAGTGTTGTTCAATTGTATTAAAATCTCTTGATTGCTTGATCTTGCAGGTAGCTACATGCTAAAAATCGACATCTTCAACTTCACGTTACTCTTTCTATTAAATTGAAAAACGTGTGTTTAGAGATAAAGATTAGAGAAATAGCTACTAAAGTATCTTGTTAATTATTTCAAATTTTTCATTCAATAAAAACACGAAGTGAGGAAAAAGAGACAATCGATTTATGTCATGGAGCATGTTTAGTTAAAATAGTTGTTGTCGAGGCTTTCAAAATCAAGCGTTTTTACGAATTATTTTTCATTTGATTCTGTGTAACTTATGCCTAAAGCAGCCTTCTTGTTTATGTGGGCGTTGCGATATATTTGTCTTATATTTACTTAAATTCATGATCGCTTCCCTTCTCTAGACAATCTATCTTCGCATCTTCGTCATATATATGCAAAGTAAATGGCAAATTTAACTTGTTAATGCGTTCATTTTAAATGAGAACCGTGCTTTGTATGTCTAAAGATGCATTAGTACTACATATAACCGTATATTTATGCGCTGTACTCTTGCTTAAGTCCTATAATTTCATGTAAATATGATTGTTGAATACGAAAAAATTTATTTCAAGCGTACGGTACGAACGTTCTTGTAATTATGGTCTTTTGTATTCAATTGCATCCAGCTGTTCACTTTCATAACGAGTGAAATCTCCATTTTCCATCTCATTTAAATACCGGCTTTTTTAGTTTACAAACCGCTTTTTTTTAAAGCTTTTCCCTGTTTCGTTTTTTATATAAAATTCCACATTTACAGCAATTAAAACTCCTGCGATACTTTCGCGTTCATTTAGCATGTCATTAACGTCTTTCGAATTTTTTTTCAGAACACAATTTTCATCGCGACATCTGCAGAGTACGAGGTGACGAAATATTATCTGCGTGCGAATTCTCAAGATGAATGCGATAAGTGGCTCGCTGCATTGAAATCTTCAGGTTATAACATTTTTGAATCTACGGGACTTTTGAAAATTATGTAATGAAGAGATACTGTAAAACAGCTAAGGTTGGGAAAGGATTGATAAGGTTAGTTTGGGATAAGATAGATAAGGGTAGTATGGGATGGACTCATCCGGGATGATAGAAGGTGTTTTAAGAAACAGAAGTAGGAGAACGGATTACGAAGAACTTACTTTAGACATTTACTGAACCATCTTTGTGTTTAGCTATTGCACACTTGAAATGGAGAAGAAAGAATTTGAAGCGAAATATTCTCTATCCACTCGCATACTTGAAGCAGAACAGACTGGAAAACAACAATTGATGAATCAATGTCTGGAATACGACCAACGAATCGCTGTCCTAGAAGCTCAGGTGAGTATCGCGATGCACTCTTTGGTAGAAACATCGATGTACCATTGAACCTAGAGACTTTTCCCAGAAACGATTTTCTGATAACTTTGTTTTATGTACTCCTCTTCTCAGCTTTCAAAAATGAGACGAGAGGAATCAGAGGAACGCGCACAAGAGGAGAAAATGGAGGGGGATGATATAAAAAAGATAAAAAAGGTTTGTTCACATCTTTGATTTGATATATGTATTTATGCAGTCGTGTGGTTTTGTGTCGAATTGGGAGAAGTCGAGTCTTTAAAAAAACTCACGACTTTTCATTCATCTAAATTGGGAGAAGTCGAGTCTTTGAAAAAACTCACGACTTTTCATTCATCTAAATTGGGAGAAGTCGAGTCTTTGAAAAAACTCACGACTTTTCATTCATCTAAATTGGGAGAAGTCGAGCCTTTAACCAGACAAAACAAGAAACATTCGTTGATGATTTTACAGATCTTTACCCGACGTTTTGAGATCAAGAGCCTCAACCGTCCAATCGAAGTCGGGGATCATTTGCCCAATGCTATAATCAATCGTTATCCACATATATCCACATACATCAACTGATGATTTGTTTATTATAGGTTCAGAGCTTAGTTCGCGCCTGGTTATGTCGACGTCGCTGGCGTTCGGTCGTGAGAGATTACATTGATTCGGGTCACGCGGAATGCATCAGACAACGCAACCAAGTGATCTTTCATTTCGTCCAGGAGGAAGAACAATATGTGAAGGATTTGTCGACGCTGGTCACGTGTTTTTTACGTCCTTTTCGTATGGCAGCCAGCGCCCAGAAACCGCCCACGACTCACGAGGAAGTGAACTCGATATTTTTAAATTGGTAAGAGTATTATGACACGTTTCTATAGAAACGTGACGATCTGATTCAACCCGTTAATGGGTGTGTCAGGGGAGTGGAGCGGCACCGTTATCGATTATATTCGGGTAATCGGTGATAGCGAGCGTTGTCTTTGAGTTGAACCGATGTTATTTTGTATTCCTAGCGATTACCTCTGGGATTGCAATGGATTGCTAGGGATTGCAATGGATCGCTAGTGATTGCAATGGATTGCTAGGGATTGCTTTACTTTCAGACTGCAAACAAGTCGAGATATTTGTCTTAAGTGAAAAGTGAAGAGTTTTCCATGGACTATTTCTTGGTAGAATTTTGTTTAGTACCATGAATGTAGATAGTCATTGGTATTTATTGATTTTATAGTGAGATCATACTCTTTCTTCACCAAATTTTCTTGAAAGGATTACACACACGAATGGAGAATTGGCCAACACTTATACTGGGTGAGCTTTACTCTATGTAACGTGACATTTTGACTTGGGGCAGCCCTATTTTACCGAAGAACACGAGTTACGTCAAATGCATTTGGTTAAATGATATATTTTGTTGGTGCAATATGCTTAATGCTTAATGAATTGGTTCGTTACTAAACTTATTTTGGCTATATAAAACAACATTAATTATTGCAAAAGTGATATGAAAAACATATCATGACTGACCAACGTTGTGTTTCACTGTCCACATACCTAAAGCTGGGGGTGGTGATACCCCACCCTACCTCACCCTACCTCACCCTACCTCGTATCAATGCCCCTGTTTACCGATCGTTTCTTGTCTGTCATAGGTGACTTATTTCGCTTATTGCTACCAATGTATGGTATTTACCAGGAGTATGTAAGAAATCATCATTACAGTCTTCAGGTACCTAATAAAACGTTCATCCGGAAATGAATTTCATGTTTTCGACCAATCGCGATTCATAAGAGCATCACTCGTAGCGTTCCGTAACATAACACATCTTTTATCTTCTCAAGTTCCCTCGTTAAATGAACCTTTTTCCCTGCAGATGTTGGCCGAATGTAAAAAACAATCATCAAGCTTCAATCGACTTCTTTCCATCCACGAGGAGAAGCCCGGGTGTGCCAACAGAAGTCTTGAGACATTTCTTACGCTTCCCATGCATCGAGTTCCAGGTTATATCATCACTTTGCATAGATTGCTTGCATTTACACCTCCTGATCACGTGGACAGGGAATGTTTGGAGTACGCGCAAGGCATTTTGGAAGAACTGTCGATGGTAAGAATGAAGAAGTTTCGTTTGATTTAGTTTTTCTTCTGCGGTGAAGCTGGATTTGTAGTAGATGATAGTCAATTGATTTGAACTCAGTTTGGAACTAACAGAGCTAACCAGCTTTCTACCTGAAGAAGCACTAGACCATTTAGAGATGATCTTTGCTAGTTTGCTAGGAAGAAGAGTATAGTAGCTATGAATGAACTAAATTTAAAAAATGTTTGAGATCACTTTAAATCACAAGTCAAAAAAATCCGTTCTTGTTTGAAAGTTTACATCGTCGTCGGACTCTAGTTTTGTATCACAGCATCATCATTATCCTATTCAAGCAGTGAAAAAATTGTGTTAGAATTCCCTGAAAAATTATTTCCTTTCAGATAATGCACGATGAAGTCAGCGAAACGGAGAATATCCGTAAAAATTTATCAATTGAACGACAAATATTCGGTGGTTGTGAAGAACTACTTGACGTTCAACAAGTTTTCATTCGTCAAGGTAGGCTTTTTTATATATTTTCAACAGTTAGAATGGACGGGGTGGGCGAGCGTCTCTTGAAAACCATCGAGAACTGCGCGTCTTTCGCAATGTTATGTTTCTTGTGGGGAGACAATCACAATGTATAATAGCATGGACGCATCACCAATAACATGTTTATTTTTATATCTACTATATATATTACTCTTTCAATAGCCGAATAAGACTTTGGTTTACTAAACTGATAGCAACTGCAATGGGACAATACAGGAGAACTTTACCTTCCTCATCCAATCCGTCTTTTCATACTGCCATATTTGATAGCTTTTACCTTGGGACAATTTTACATGCATAAGTGTACATCATATTTTTTGCAATTATTAAATCTTAAAAATTGTAAACAAATCACTTGAATCTTGAAGCAAAACACAACACGATATAACACCTCAGAATTTGCATTTTTTATGACATTTATATTTTTGTTTTGGCTTTTTTTTTGCATCCCATTCCAGCAATGAGGCATTTAGTTTAGGTACAGGTATGTGTTTGGCCTCTTTTTGTGTAAAGAAATGCTTAGGTCTGCTAAGTTTATTGAAAAAATGTTCAATATTTTAGAGAAGTTTTGTTTAGAAATGACAAATTCGTTGGTTGTTTAATTTATGGAATAATTTTTACGCCATTTCATCGTCAAAAACCCGCAGAATAACTATCAACGTCGGTTAAAATAATTGCCTTCAAAAATTCAGAGCTATAGCGAAACATAACGGCGATTTGTCGGTAGTATTTCCACTTATTCCTAACACGGAAGCTGTTTGACAAAAAAATTCACAAATGTTTCTAACCGTAAGTAGATTTGGCGTAGGTCAGTAAATTTTAGGATAAACTCTCCATCATCTTTTATCAGTGTTTGTGGCTACGTTTTGTTTGAGATGATTAATTTTGGATGATCTTCAAGACTTGTCAATAATACTTGAGCTGTTAGCGTTTCACACTACAGTACGTTTCCTGGCATGTACAATTATAAAATGAATAAAATTATCTGACTGTAGCAGTAGTGTCTACATTCAAATACAAACTGGCCAGAAGTCGTAAATTATCACGTCGTCGACTGAAGTTTCTTTTTGAGGTTAGCGTTCTATCAATTTATTATATTTTGATTTGTTTATATTGCTTTGAAAGTGAAATTAAAAGAAACTGTTGTCGTTTCTCAATCTGTTTACTGCATGTATAAATGGCTGAGAATTAAAGCAAGGCTTTTTTGTTTCATGGTTTCGACTTAACGTTAAATGCTTAATGGTGCATAGGAACATTTTGTGGAGCGTACAGAAGTAACAAGAGTATTCTCCAAATGCGTTATTTTCTCTTCTACTAAGTGGACGCCTCCTCTATTACTGTTTTTGCGTCTTTTCGATTCACGAATGTTACATGGCATTGTTTGTGATCGTATATCATATGCATTGTATCAATCGCTTGAAAGGACAAATGTGATAGTTTTTATGACGATCCCGATGTTGAAATGTTTGGGAAACTTTATATTTTTGTAGTTGAAGAAAAACTACGTTCTTCGGCGTAGAAGTGTAAGATTGGTCTCGAAATATTGCTATGTCATGCGTGGGTTTATTTGTTTTTTGAACGACATGTACGTGCATAGTTGGCGTTTGCTAGTATCATCTCGAACTTTTTGTCTTCGTGATCTCGATAGAAATACGAAATACTCAAAGATATGTTTTGTTTACAGGAAGCCTCATACAGATTCAGGAGTGTTCTAAAAAACCGACATTATCCTTGGCGGGAAGAGGAATCTTTCCCAACGAAAGAAAAGAGTCCCTACGTCATTGTTTTCTGTTTTCTGGTTTGCTGTTGATTGCATCAAAATCGTCCAATGGAAAACTACATCTTAATAAGGTATGTTGTCCTACACGGAGGGGCTAACTACTCTCCAGTGACGGTCTATCTTGGTGAATCTGTCTTCGTTATGAGTTTAACAAGGCCATGTACACGAAACTAACATGAAAACTAGGTCAGTTATATTGTTTTACAAGATCATAAGTATCTTTGTGTGAGTCTTGTTTACCTAAGGCCTGTGGTTACACTTGCGATGTGCAAACACATGATGTTATATAGTGTATCACGCTCATGACCTTTTTTCTTATTTCCTAATGAGCGCACAGCAAGCTAAAGTGGTATTTAATGTTTGACTTACTGAACTGCATGTATAACTGGATTGTTACCATTTGGTTAAAATGTCTACTTGTATTCATAGCTCAACGTACTGTCATAATGAAGTTTTTTGGCAGTGCGTAGAAAGACTGGGGCTAGTCAAATGACTGGTTTCAAATTTCGGCCTTCGTCTTATTCATAAAGTTAAACGGTTTTGACTAGCTTATCCCGTCATGCTTTAGTCAACACCTCTAATTGTTGTCGCGTGTGTTGTTTTCCACATCATTAAATATTTCTTTGACTTAATTTTTAGTCTACCGGAAAGTTGTATCTCTCCGAAGTCACGGTGATAGACAATATTCACGACGAAGGTGAATTAAAAGTCTGCTGTTGTTGCTGTTGTCGTTGCACTTTTATTACGGCATTAAATCGACCTGTTTTTCATTCAGATTTAGTTTTAGATGCTGCTAACTCTACGTGGAAGATCGAACAGCCTTGTGGACTTGCTGATATGGCATTAAGGGTCGTAATACATCCACGTGACGGCGAGCAGCCGCTGAATATTACTTTAGTCGCGCAGACGGCTCACGAGAAGGACTCTTGGCTCAGTGACTTGAAACAGGTCTGTTTTCATTATATTGGCTATTTTAGATTGAAGATTTAGCTGATTTGTGTCAAATTGTTATCTCTCTTGAGAGGGCAATTGATATTTGGCCGTATTGAAACTTTTTCGGGTTTTTCTTTCTTTCAGTGCATCGAGAATATCAGTTTCATTAACAGTTTACAAGAAACAACTTTACCTAGCCGTCAATGTTTCACTAATTTAAGGTAACACTCAGACTTTTACCTAGCCGTCAATGTTTCACTAATTTAAGGTAACACTCAGACTTTTACCTAGCCGTCAATGTTTCACTAATTTAAGGTAACACTCAGACTTTTTACCTAGCCGTCAATGTTTCACTAATTTAAGGTAACACTAGACTTTTACCTAGCCGCCAATGTTTCACTAATTTAAGGTAACACTCAGACTTTTACCTAGCCGTCAATGCTTCACTAATTTAAGGTAACACTCAGACTTTTACCTAGCCGTCAATGTTTCATAATTTAAGGTAACACTAAACTTTTACCTAGCTGTCAATGTTTCACTAATTTGTTAACACTCAGACTTTTACTACGTCAATGTTTCACCAATTTAAGGTAACACTAAACTTTTACCTAGCTGTCAATGTTTCACTAATTTAAGGTAACACTAAACTTTTACCTAGCTGTCAATGTTTCACTAATTTAAGGTAACACTGTGACTTTTTACCTAGCTGTCAATGTTTCACTAATTTAAGGTAACACTCAAACTTTTACTTCTAGCTGTCAATGTTTCACTAATTTAAGGTAACACTCAGACTTTTACCTAGCCAGTCAATGTTTCACTAATTTAAGGTAACACTAGACTTTTACCTAGCCGTCAATGTTTCACTAATTTAAGGTAACACTCAGACTTTTACCTAGCTGTCAATGTTTCACTAATTTAAGGTAACACTGCATCTTTTTACCTAGCCGTCAATGTTTCACTAATTTAAGGTAACACTCAGACTTTTACCTAGCTGCCAATGTTTCACTAATTTTAAGGTAACATCAGACTTTTACTAGCCGTCAATGTTCACTAATTTAAGTAACACTCAGACTTTTTACTCTAGCTGTCAATGTTTCACTAATTTAAGGTAACACTCAGACTTTTACCTAGCTGCCAATGTTTCATAATGTAACACTCAGACTTTTAATTTTAGCCGTCAATGTTTCTACTAATTTTAAGGTAACACTCAGACTTTTACCTAGCCGCCAATGTTTCACTAATTTAATTGTAACACTCAGACTTTTACCTTAGCCGCCAATGTTTCACTAATTTAAGGTAACACTCAGACTTTTACCTAGCCGCCAATGTTTCACTCAATTTAAGGTAACACTCAGACTTTTACCTAGCCGTCAATGTTTCACTAATTTAAGGCAGGTAACACTCAGACTTTTACCCAGCCGCCAATGTTTCACTAATTTAAGGTAACACTTGACTTTACCTAGCCGTCAATGTTTTACCAATTTAAGGTAACACTGTGACTTTTACCTAGCCGTCATCAATGTTTCACTAATTTAAGGTAACACTCAGACTTTTTACCTAGCCGTCAATGTTTCACTAATTTAAGGTAACACTCAGACTTTTACCTAGCCGTCAATGTTTCACTAATTTAAGGTAACACTCAGACTTTTACCTAGCCGTCAATGTTTCACTAATTTAAGGTAACATCAAACTTTTACCTAGCTGTCAATGTTTCACTAATTTAAGGTAACACTCAAACTTTTACCTAGCCGTCAATGTTTCACTAATTTAAGGTAACACTCAAACTTTTTACCTAGCCGTCAATGTTTCCACTAATTTATAACACTCAAACTTTTACCTCACGTCAATGTTTCACTAATTTAAGGTAACACTCAAACTTTTTACCTAGCCGTCAATGTTTCACTAATTTAAGGTAGTATCTAGACTTTTTACCTAGCTGTCAATGTTTCACTAATTTAAGGTAGCACTCAGATTTTACCTAGCCGTCAATGTCACTAATTTAAGGTAACACTCAGACTTCTTTTTACCTAGCCGTCAATGTTCACTAATTTAAGGTAACACTCAACTTTTTACCTAGCCGTCAATGTTTCACTAATTTAAGGTAACACTCAAACTTTTTACCAGCTGCCGTCAATGTTTCACCAATTTAAGGTAACACTCAAACTTTTACCTAGCCGTCAATGTTTCACTAATTTAAGGTAGCACTCAGACTTTTTACCTAGCCGTCAATGTTTCACTAATTTAAGGTAGCACTCAGACTTTTACTCAGCCGTCAATGTTTCACTAATTTAGGTAACACTCAGACTTTTTACCTAGCCGTCAATGTTTCACTAATTTAAGGTAACACTCAGACTTTTTACCCAGCCGTCAATGTTTCACTAATTTAAGGTAACACTCAAACTTTTTACCTAGCTGCCAATGTTTACTTTATGTAACACTTGACTTTTACCTAGCTGTCAATGTTTCACTAATTTAAGGTAACACTCAGACTTTTACCTAGCCGTCAATGTTTCACTAATTTAAGGTAACACTAGACTTTTTACCTAGCCGTCAATGTTTCATTTCAATTTAAGGTAACACTTCAGACTTTTATTCTAGCCGTCAATGTTTTCACTAATTTAAGGTAACACTCAGACTTTTACTAGCCGTCAATGTTTCACTAATTTAAGGTAACACTGTGACTTTTACCTAGCTGTCAATGTTTCACTAATTTAAGGTAACATCAGACTTTTACCTAGCCGTCAATGTTTCACTAATTTGTAACACTCTGACTTTTACTCTAGCCGTCAATGTTTCACTAATTTAAGGTAACACTTGTGACTTTTACCTAGCCGTCAATGTTTCACTAATTTACAACACTAGACTTTTTACCTAGCCGTCAATGTTTCACTAATTTAAGGTAACACTCAGACTTTTTACCTAGCCGTCAATGTTTCACTAATTTAAGGTAACACTCAGACTTTTACTTCGTCATTTGTTGGTTTTCTTGAAGAGACGCTTCATATGCCTCATACTGTTTTAGAAACAAGTTTACTTTCCTCCAATAATATTCAAAAGCCAGTCAACTGTCCCCACACTTTTTCAGAAGCAGTTACCCTCTCTCGCCATACACAATTTCGAAAACGAGTTAACCTTCCCCAAACAATTTCAGTGATATGTTTACTCCCCTTGCACGATGCTAGAATTAAGTAAACTCCCCCCTGCTTCATACCACCACCACCCCCCGTACAATTTCAGAGACAAGTTATAATTGTGTGTTATTTCTCTTCATATTAGAAATGATCCCAGCCTTTACACTGATGATGTAGGCATTAAGTACTCAAAATGCCTCAACTCTTGTCGCATTCCGAGGGTGAGTTCAATGTTCATGATATCCGTTAAACAGTGGGTATTTTTTGACGTTTAGCTGCATAGTTCACGATGTAATCTAATGTAAAACCTTCTAAGACTATCCATAAATCCATTATAATCTTCACAAAATTATTTATATGTTTGTAAATGTAGATCGTCCAGGTTGGTATAGTCCTGAGAAGGACTGTTTTTGTTGTTGTTGAAAATTATTTATGATTAAGATTTCTTCTTCAACGTAGATCATCTCCTTCGATCGCTTCTTGATCCTTTTATACGCCATTTCTAGATCCGTTATGCCAGCGAAAAACGTTTATTCGAACGTCTTTTGGATTTAAGATTCTTCAGCATTGAGTTCCTTAACACCTTTTTAATAACATATCGCATGTTTACCGACGCAGACACGATACTCGATGTATTAGAAAGGTTTTACTACGACAGACAAAGATCGTGTTCTCTGCCTTTGACACACTCGGATCTCTTCAACAATACAAATCGACGTCCGTATTTATTAAACGAGAAACATTCGGCAACTAGCTGTGCCACTCGTAAGTCGACATGTCTCGTTTTTTTATCAACTTTTTTGCACATTCAATAATGATGAATGATACCTTTCTATTAGATGTTTATATTAGGTGTTGGTATGGTGCGTTAGCTAATAAAGTCAGTGTTTGGTAGCAGATAAGATTCATAAGACGTTCGTCGGATTGTTTGACCTCTTCAGACTACAAATGATTTGTCAAGAAAGACTTTAAAACAACAACAAATTTGTGATGTTATGAAACTGCGTTACAAAATATTTACTACTTTTACAAATTCCTGAGGCAAAATTTATTTTTGTCTCGTTCGTTTTTTGCTATATTCTATCAAGTTATCGTATGAAAATCTCGTATTTTACCTCATAATTGTGTTGCACAAAATTCCTCTGTACATAATTTCATAATACAGGATGTTTTCATTAAATATCAATAATATTCTACATGTTAAAATCGAGTATAATATTCAAGATTAAACTTCATGTAAGAATTCATCTCTCTTCAGAAAAGAACGACGCTGTCACTTCACTGTGTGAAGAGACAATCGATGACGATCAAGAGACTCCAACTCGACCAACAACACTTGAAATTCCTTCATCCTGTTTCCATCGTCGGCATTCGTCTCCATCGGCTCTTGGTGAAGGAAATGCCTTTAAATACCCAAATTCAGTTGAAACGTCCGCTTCATGTTATTGCACTACCAACTTGGAGCTTGAAGATGCTTGTGCAGTCTCTGATGATCTAAAGCATTTACGACACCTTACGAACAGCAGCTCTTGCCTGCCACAAAATGAAGAAGAACAAAAACTCCTTTGCAAGTCAGAGCGTTGTAATAACAACAGTATTTTCGCGGATGAACTTGAAAAGATTTCGACGACGTAAATGATGGAAAACATAACATAAATATGAAGCATTCTGTGATGATACAAGATGACTGTATCCCTTTAATTACCACAACTTGCTCCACTGACGTCAAGGAAAGAGTGTGTCACGTGTTTGAAGATGACGATGATACAACAGTTGATAAAGACGGCAATATTGATACACTAGGGATTGTAAAGGACTCTTTTGCTTCGAAAGTTCATGCAAAGTTAACAAATAACGATGACAACAACAACGCGAGTGGAATGTCCAACGAAGTAGAATCTTGTGGTGAATGTTCCGAAGTTTTCAATAAGGACAGAGATGATGTTCAGAGCGTAAAAACCACAAAGTCTTCTCCCGGTCATTGTGGCTTTTCTTTGGGTTTGGAACGGTCGAAAGAATTACCGGAGAAAAGGCCCAACTCCTGTCCGAAAACCGTAGGGAAACGTCAACCACACTACCTCCCCAAAATCCCCCAAGAGAACCCTAGTCCTAAGCATAGCAAGATGCGGTCAAAGACTTTACTCGAGCGACGAAATCACGGAAAAACTGCGGCCATGGCCAACACAATTGAACTAAAACCGAAACGAAAATTCACTTTTCCAAGGCCTCTATCTCCTCGACTCGGTACCAGCTCTCCCAAACCTCTTTCCAGCCCCGGTGCTGTCGTGACATCTTCACGGTCATCTATACGCAAGACGAGTATAACTGCAGCAGCCGCTGCGTTTGCAGCTGCTACTGCAGGCGCACCGTGTTCTCCATCATCGCCTCTTACGTCAGCACACGCGAGATTCTCTTTCCGTGAGTTGAATCCAATCGTCTTTTATCCCTCCTGATTCTGTTGCAGTTTATAAAATTAGTACTCTTTAGTAGGTTGATTGATCTTCGCCACATGCATACACCACGTGTCATAAGCATACACGATGTGTCATATGCATACACCATGTGTCATATGCATACACCATGTGTCATATGCATACACCATGTGTCATATGTGTACGTCATGTGTCATATGTGTACGTCATGTGTCATATGTGTACGTCATGTGTCACATCGTAACTAAGTCGCATTTCCTCTGTAACACAAATTTCGACTTCCATTTTACAAACTTGTCATCGTCTTTTTTTTACAATTTCACCAGGAGAAGTTCAAAGTCCTCTCGCTCGAGTTTTGACCATACTTCATCACTGGATTATCAAACAAGGACAGGTAAACAAAAGCATTTAAATGATCACCACTTTATTGGAATACTTCTTTATCTCTAATGACAAGTAGGAGAATTTGTAAATGCTCTGTCAGTTGCGTGAAAGGAATTGGCACTAGACTAGCATTTCTCAACAGAGCACTTTGGAGTGCAGGCTTTCATGAAATGTTGTTTTTGTTTTTCTAGGATTTTCATACAGTTGCAAAGCTAAAGTTACGGGTACAAAACTTTCTTGACGATGTAAAAGATTGCGAACGAACCACAAGTGAACAGCGTAGACTTTGTGATACGATTTCTCAGTACGTAAATCTTTCCCCGTTTTTCATGGTTCATGGAACATATCGACAAACATTTGTCATGATTTTTTCACCAGAATTCTTAAACGCCATTCATATTCGATACTCGAAGAGAAGTTGTTTCAAAGATTATTCCTGCAACAGTTAGAACTTGAAATAATTCTTAGTCAGTCAAAGTGTTATACTGATTTCACTACCGAGTTTAATTCTTCCTTCAGACTCCGAAACCAACGAAGTTGAGTTTTGATAAACTTTCCTCGAATCAGTTGGCTGAACAAATTACACTAACTGAACACCTCTTGTTTTCAAGAATACCATCTTAGTAAGTTCTCAGATAGTGCTAATTGTGTTAAAGTGTTTGTCAGAAAAGATGAAGACAGCTGTTTTACTTAGTTTACAGTTAGTGTATGTTATCGGAGTTTTGATGGAAATGTTTTGTCAACTTAGAAAAAATTGGTAGCTAAGGTTTCTTGTTTTGAAGGCAAACTAAATTTTAAAAATAATAACGTATGTAGTTTGTTTTGCTCGTACAACTGTAGTGAAAAGAATACACTGCACAGAACTTGTCCTTTGAAAGTTGTTGATTTATAGTACCTGAAAATTTTATGCAACGCACTTTCCTATAACAACATAAAAATCTTTCACAGCTTGACACTGAAGCGATCATTATTTTTATTGTTAATGGTCAGCTAACTGCTGGTGGAATTCAATTTCTATGCTTCGAGTCTCAAAAGTACATTTTACGTTTTTAACAGCGAGTTTTTGAATTTGGCATGGATGAAAGCGGACAAGGACGTCAAGGCTCCAAATATTTTGAGAGTCAGCCAAAGATTTAACATGGTAAAAGAGGATTTGCTCCCTTTCTAGCTAAGTCACACAATTTTTTTTCTATACTGGTCTTTACTTATCATCATACTATACATATTTTGTGTTATGAAGATTGAAATCGCTGAAACAGTTCGTTAATAAGTTTAACGTACTTGCATACATTGCTGGTAAGTTCGTCCATCACACTCGCTATGATTTCATCTTCTGTACTTTAGGTGAGTCGATTAGTTGCGTCGGAAATCTTAAGTCGCAATACGGCTTCATCTAGAGCAACAACAATTGAAAAATGGGTCGTTGTAGCCGATGCTTGTCGTCACTTGTGCAATTTTAATGCTGTTCTAGAGATCGTCTCGGCCCTCATGAGTAGTTCAGTCTTCCGACTTAATAAAACTTGGGAAAAACTATCGAAGCAGGTACGATCTAAAAATGGATTGAAACATTCTAAGGCGGATTCTTGGAAGCACGTTTTTGTGTGGAAGTGGGCAAGCTCTCACTGTTGACAAAACATATGAAACATCTTGTTTTCATGTTTTATGCACTGTAAACTGGACTGCTCGAGAATTATTTAGTGAATAATGCTTAAGGTATTCAATTTTTGATCTAGACAAGAGCCACGGTAGACAAGCTACAGGATCTAGTCAGCGCTGACGGCCGTTTTAAGAATATGCGCGAGGCTTTGAGATGGTAAAAATCCTTTTACATTTAATGTAGAATTTGTATATGTTCAAAGCGAAATGCTAGTCAAGAAGAATTGTTATGGTGTTTTTCAAATGTGAGATTGAATCACGGGTTACATGTGTATAATTCTGTAGCTCCAGTCCACCTTGCATACCTTATCTTGGCTACCTGCTTAATGACCTTGCCTTCATTGAAGAAGGAACATCTATGACTGACGAGAATGGTCTCATAAATTTTTCAAAGATGAGAATGGTAAACAAATATTCGAAACGTAGCTGTAAAAAACCTGCACGATGTTGATTTCTTTCGTTTTTTTTGCAGATTGCTCAAGTTGTTGAGGAGATACGTCATTATCAAGAAATTAGCTACAACATTCAACATGACTCGAATGTAGGTTGCATCGTCTTTCTATTGCTCCAAAAATGATTAAAATTTATTTTTCTACGGAGATTATCCATAGTGGAGTCAAGATATTTTACGAGTTCCAGTGAGGATTATCTCTTATTGATCCATTATGGATCAGTGGCGGATCTAGGGTTAGTCAAAATAAATTACTGCTGCACGTTTTGAACTATATTTTAAATTTCTAAGCCCCTCAGAGACGAGTCCATTGGTGAAATTATATTCTTTAGAAATTCAAAACCAATAGTGCTTTTCTGAAAGTACTTTGAATTTAAAATTAAGCAGCTTTAAATTATTTTGCTCGCTGCTGCTCGCTGTGACTACCCCTAGATCCGCTACCGTTATGGATCAGATCTCCTCGATTTAATTCTTAACTTGACATGACATTGATCCGGAATCTGATGAGTTTCGATTTAGTGAAGATTTGTCAGTAGTTAAATTGCCGCTAGCGAGCAATCTTTATGTATTTTTCTCGTAGGTAACGGATTATCTCTTCAACGAAGAAATCTTGATGGATGAAAATTCGCTGTACAAAACTTCTCTCACTTGGGAGCCAAAGAAGCGTCCGTCTGTCAAATTAAAAAATCGAGATCATCATGAGTGATCCTCTTTTTGCTTTTAAATTGTTAGTAATATGGAAAATTTTTATTTAGGTTGGATTTAGCTGAACTTGGGGCATATTATCTTTAGTACTCTGAATAAAAACAGCACTTTAATCTTCGAATAAAAAAACAAAAGAATTACTCCAGACGCGTACAACATACAGATCAGTGTCTTGGCTTTGTTACTTAGCAACACAGTTACCTAGCAACAAAGTATTAAATTTTTTATCGTTGACAGAGCTTGCTCTGTTTTTTCAAATTTTCGTCGTTTTCTGTTTGAGTTTTCTTCAAAATGTCTATGTCCACCTCATATCGATACGAAGTTGAAAACCCGACCTCTGTAATGCTAAAGAAATCCTTACGAAGACAGAAACAACGTATAAGGGTAAGTTGGAAAATGAGTTTGAAGTTGAACAGTGAACACCACGTGAAATGAAATGTCGAAAATAGTTATTTATTTTTGCTTGCAGATTTTTTGTGATAAACCACACAAGTTTTTACTCAATTCAACTGTTCTACTTTCGTCTCTAGCTATGATATTGTGAACAGTTAATCTAATTTTAAATATTTTCCACTTCGGACTTTAGTCAAAACTTTGGTGTACTGTATGAAAACTATGACTGCCAGGATTCATTATATATTGTTGGGGCGTCTTGCATAGCCAATTTGCGAATTTGGCTGTGCTAGGCAAATTTTTGAGTGCAATTTTGTGAAAACTAGGCTTTTGTACATGCAAATTTCGAATCTGGGTGTGCAGTTAACAAACTTTTCAGTTTGAACCGTCCCTATTGGTATATCCAAACCACAGAGTCACAGACCTCATGAACGGGAAAGAATCTCCAATCCTCACTTCAACTCTGCCTCTAACCTTTTCTCCCAACCTCTTATTTTAACATTGCTCTAAATAGATTCAATCATGAAAAAAACCTCAGTACTTTTTTTGTATAAAAAATCACAAAATTTATTCGCATTTGGAATAATCAAAATTCGTTGAGCGTTGAATGTTTTGTTTGAAAATATGTCGTCTTTCACAAAGTTATGATGTTTTTTTGATCTTGTTTGAATAACTGTGTCACAATTAAGCTCTATGGTGGACAATACATACATTGCTTTGACATCCCCCCCCACCCCCACCCCCCTTGTTGTATTTTTGTAAGTAAATATTGTATAAAGAACAAATCTAGTTAAAAGAATCACATATAAAAATTTCAAAACGAGTTCAATAACTCATCAAATTTACATTTAATTTATCTGTAGAATTATGAAATTATGAACGAGAAGACAAATGCTGTGAGAAGGTAAATATGTCAAATTTTCTTTTAAATCTCTACGATATTTTCTGTTCAGTGATATTCACATGGTTTTTTTTTATGATTTATCTCTAGCGATATAAAGACAATACTTCTTGCAGACTGGGTTGAAAAACTAGATGAAGTAAGTAAAAGAAATAATTTATGAAGCATTGTCATTCATTTGTTTATAATTTTTTTTGCTTTTGCAGTTAACAAACTCAGAAATATTTACACAGCATGGCCAATTTTATGAGCTGCTGTATCATAAATACTCTACAACTGACAGTGATTTCATTAATGCCCTTAGCTGTTAATGCAACATCATTTCTATTCACCAAAATGACAATAACAGAATAATTTACCTACAAGTAATGTTTGCGAAATTTATAGTTGACATATATTAGCATATATTTTGTTTAAAGTTAATAATTGATGATACTAATTATTCAAAATATCATTATTTTATTCAACATGTAATTGCAACTACAAAATTCATAACAAAAATCACAACAGCTATATCAATGCACAAATAAACAGAACATTTTTGTTTATAATAATTATCCTCAAATCTTCACTCATATTTTATGCTTAGACATGTTTCAAAAAGAAAGCAAAACGCCATGCAGAAGAAGTTAAGCAAGAGTTACATCATGGAAATGAAGAACTCATATTGGTAAGATATGATTATTTTGTATGGACTACAGGGATTCACGTAGGATTAAAGCATGGATTCAACATTAATTTGTGTGGACTATAGGGATTGACATAGGATCAAGGCATGGATTCAACATTAATTTGTGTGGACTACAGGGATTGACTTAGGATTAAAGCATGAATTCAATAATTTGTGGACTACAGGATTGACATAGGATCACAAGCACATGGATTCAACATTGGACTCAGGTGGAATTCTACAGGATTGACATAGGATTAAAGCATGAATTCAACATTAATTTGTGTGGACTACAGGGATTGACATAGGATCAAGGCATGGATTCAACATTAATTTGTGTGGACTACAGGGATTGACACACACATAGATTGACACCAAACATTAATTGTGTGGACTACAGGATTGACATAGGATCAAGGCATGGATTCAACACACTTGTGTGGACTTGGATTGACATAGGATTAAGGCATGAATTCAACATTAATTTGTGTAGACTATAGGGATCGACATAGGATTAAAGCATGAATTCAACATTAATTTGTGTGGACTACAGGGATTGACATAGGATTAAGGCATGAATTCAACATTAATTTGTGTGGACTACAGGGATTGACATAGGATTAAAGCATGGATTTGGCATTGTTCTGTGCATTCTGTGCATATTATCATGGCATTCATTTATTTATAGTTTCTTTGTATGTTGGCTTCGTAAATCAAACTCTTTCTTTTTGTCAAACATGAATATTAACTGTTAGCTGTAATTTTGTTTAAACCTGACAGTTTTTGCTGAAACAACTGTCTAGGTTATCTACATATAAGAAACGTAAAGTTTTCTATTTACTGTTAAGATGTAGTGTAGCCATCTCGCAAAAATGTTTTCATTTCAATTTCTGAAGATTTAATAAACTGTCCGGATGTTTATGCCACTGTTTGCCAAATCTTTCTATTAACTGTTTTGTCTGTCGTCATTTCTTTTTTTAAAATGATATTTTTGTATACGAAGGTTCGTCGAGCACAGCTGCAAAATCTCTTAATGAAAGAAGAAAAAAGTTATCGTGATGAGTTGGAAAAATTGGACAAGACTTTTTACTTACAAAGAATTTGAAGATTATGACAATGAAGGTATTTTTTTATGGATATTACTTATATGTCCTTCGATGGTAGCGCTAGAAACGAAACTTCAAACTTCGTAAAACAGTATTCATATTTTTAAGAGCCTTTTTTAACTAATTTTGTCTGAAAAAAAAACATTTCAACATTCTACTTAAGAGTTAACCATGTTTTGTACAACTTAAACCCTTCCTCGGCAAAATAGTATTTCTACCGTCAAATTCGAAAACAAAAGCTTTCTTCTTTTCCTCTCGCGTTTTTCACCGGATTCAACCACTTATGCGTGTGCTTGTGAACGACTGTTCGTGAAAGAAAGAAGTTGTTTAAATACTCTGTATATATATATATATATATATTTTATAAATTCAGGCTTGTCGTGATAATCTGTAGTTTTCGTGATTTTTTTCAACATCACTACATACATATATTTATGCTCTGCTCTCGGGCATCGAGCACTGTTTTATACGGAGAATCATAACATATAAACTTCCTATTTTATATATTCTGTAGTTTGGTGATTTAATCATGTCTAAAAGCTTTGGGAAAGATTTGAGGTTTTGAAGTATAAGGTGTCTGTAATAAACACAAGAAAACGAACTTCTTCTTATCATCGTAAATTTTTTTTTATCAATTTTCTCACGCAACAAGCGAATAAACATAGATATGTAACGTACGCCGTGGTTTTTTAATGTCCATCATGAGTGTATTGGAGGAGCTCAGCTTCCCTGATTAAAATCTTATACATTATATAGCTATTGGTAACAGTAGTGTGATCAGAAAGCGAGCAGTAATGGTAATATATATATAAGATACCCTCCATGTTGTTATTATGTAGCTTAGAAGAAAAATCGTTAATAGGTCGATAAGACTGGTGCAAACTTGTACTCGCAATAGTTTTTTTGTTCCACGTTTAGCTACGTGTTCTTTCTTTGAAAGAAAAACGAACAGATTTTACCTTTTACTAAGCTATTTATAAAAACACGACAAAGAATAAAGCTCGAAATTTCATTTCTATGATATGTTTTCAACAAATCTAAGGCCTAGCTAGATCAAACTTTGTCTTTTATATTAGTCTAACGTGATATATATAACTAAAAATAATTTTTCAACTTCTTTCCATCCATGACAAGAGCGATATTTGACTCGAGTCTTTTTAAAGTATAATAATGAGTTAAGTTATTGCTGTTTAACTGCGTGTGTTTTGGTTTTTGGGTGATTTCGAGAGCTGTTTTATCATTAAGCTGCAAGCATTTCATTTGTCAACCAACATTGCTGCTGAGGAATATTCTCGAAGAAAATGACAGATGTTCTTCAATAAAACGCAGCTGTTTTTATATGTAATATTCGTTGTGTTATTGTACGTGGGCTGAATAAATATTTTTATTCATCGACCTTAGGAGATATTTTATAATGATGAATTTCTTCATAGTAAATATACCGTTTATAACTATATGATTCATAAAGGATACTGAAATGTCTTTCTGTTTTTTCTATTGCATAGTTTTCTCTGAATTATTGAGTTATTGAAATATTTATACTGCAAATGTACCGTCACTTAGTAAGAATATATTTTGTTATTAGCGTTGGCGTCTTTAGCTATACATAACTGCTACATCTTTAAAATATTTTAAACATTTATTTGCTCCGGTTTTTTAAGTATGGCAATGTTTTTTAATCATTTTGTTCTCAAATATAAACTAATACGCGATATTTTGTATACGAGTTTGAAGTTTTGTGATTGGTCAGTTGACGAGTGAGCAAAGCCTTTAAACATTTTGATTGTTTAGTTGACGAGTGAGCAAAGCCTTTAAACATTTTGATTGGTTAGTTGACGAGTGAGCAAAGCCTTTAAACATTTTGATTGGTTAGATGATTAATATGTTATGTCTTTTGTGTTTTTTCATTGTTTAACTTCCAAATAAATAATGTTCTTCGTGTTTTTTAAATGATTGGTTGAGATATAATTCGCTAACCGGACGCGCAACTTAAACTTTTTTTTATAAATTCCTCCCCGATGTCGATTAGTGGAGACTTTTTAAGGTTATGCGAACTATTATAGAATTCTATCTTCAACGATTATCATTGATTATTACCAGTAATCTTGTTAACCTCTGTGAAAAAATTATTTTTCGAACGTTCAATACAAGTAGGTAGCACATACTTATTTTCACAAATAATTTAAGGTATAATACATATTTTTTTCATTAAGTATAATGTGGTGATTCTGATAGATTTATTATGACATGCGAGTACAATAAAGAAATGTAAAAGTGTCCATTTTTACATTCTTGCAAGAGGAAATTACAACGTTAGAAAGTTATTACGTTTGATTGAGTTCACTTTCATTGGAAGAAGTTAATTCTAAATACGACCAGTCGACATTGGGATATTTCTTCTTTAAGTAAGGCAAACCTTTGTCAATCTCAGATTGTGGGAGAAATTTAAAACTTGATGAGATATCATTTCGTTTTTGTCGAATCTCGTTCTTCAGTTCTTCTTTTTCATTGAAAGAATTTAATTCTAAATACGACCAGTCGACGTTGGGATATTTCTTCTATAAGGCAAACCTTTGTCGATCTCAGATTGTGGGAGAAATTTAAAACTTGATTTCGTAATCTCTTTTTTCTGAAATCCAATTTCGTGTGACGCATCTTTGAGATTCTCTGGAAACGTCTTCTGTTGCGCGAGTCTTTCTAACGACCTTCCTTTCGCTGTTTGAAAATAAACGACAATCATAAACATCACTGACAATGCAATTTTCCTGTCGAATGTTACTGCCATCGTACGAAATTCCTCTTGTTTAAAAGTCTCTCGATTAATGCTAACGTGCAAGCTTTCTTGTTGTTCGTTTCTCTAGAGCAATCTCGAAATGCTCGCTATTTATACACAAGCTTATCACTGATCAATCATTGGGGGGGAAATAACTCCACGAAATGAATGTAGATAAAAAAAACGTGCTGACATATGTGGACATTTTAGTTAGCTATATGTTAATACCGAGTGCTCGAGCTGTTGCAGCGTTGCTTAGCAGTCTGTCTCAAATGCAAACTTCGGTATTAGCTTATTATGTGCGTAGCTAGAGAATTCTGAAAGTAGTCAGTTTTTTGCTATAAATTGTTGCTATAATTTCACTGGCTTTATACTCGTGATAGACGTTGATTTCAGTAAATTTCGTCCTTACGTTACAGTGTAATGTTCACCATATTTGAAAAGTGAATGCTCTTGTTGAAAAGTCCTACATGTTCATGTCGAGCATTGTTCAAAATTTATTGATAACAGAATGACCGGATCCAGTGACAATATTTTTCGACTTTTCGTCTTCATTAATTTAGCACCCCCATTTGGTTTTTTATATGTGTAGTGTTATGTTCCCATACACATAAAGTAAATAACGCGTCTCCTTCGTACATTCATACAATTATAAAAATGTTTATTTCAACTTGGATGCTTAGAAATTGTACAAGAAATGTCGAAGGAGCGTTTTTGGTTGTAATTTTTTTTTCATTCTTAGTTTTCTAAGTGTTTCTTGATTTGAAGCCAATTTTATGTCCGTCCATTCATTGGTGTCGTTATAACACCCAAAAATAACCTTTCAACTTAAGAGAGCTTCAACTTGCTAGCAGTTTCAAAATACACTCCAAATGCTTAAATGGCTGTGAAAATGACATTTTTGTTCACGATTTATCAAACATAAATCGATAAATCATAATTTTATGTCTTTTCTCTTCACGCAATGCGAGAAAATCATCTTGGATACGTAGGTAGCAACAAAATATTTTTGTTAATTACTGTACGTGCAAGTGGGATCTGTTTGAACTTCCCGTGTTCATAATTGAAACGGCTTACGTTGTTTGTCTACAAGGCATATGTAAGGAAGTTGTCTTCGGTTATCGACGATGACAACAGACTGCAACATGAGATTAAACAACCAGATAACAACACGTAAATTCTATTTTTTGCAAATTCCAAAATACCCTTTTATATATATTGCTATTTATAACTGTGCCGAACGTTTATCTTAACTCGCTGTCAAATACATAGGTCGTGAAAACGTTTTAAAGTCTCTCTACAACCGCAACTAAAAATGTTTGTCATAGTGTGCTGATTGTACCAATTATCGCTACCTACGCTTTGTAATTCACGGCAAGATTTTAATCACGTTTCGGAATGAATTTGTTTTACATGTATGTTAATTTGTGTTTAAGCTGTTCCATTAAAATTATGGACAGAAAACACAACTAGTTGTTTAGAATGGCGTTTGTAATTGTTGTTAATAAGTCATTCATTACTACAAATCATATCGTATGAAGTGGTCATTGGATAGTGACTTTTTCAATATTAGAAATTGTCGTATTTTCGCAAATGAATTTTTTATCTTTGATCGACCAATTTTAATCATAGCTTTTTGCCGTGCAGGCAAGATGTAGTTTTTCTTTGGATAGCTTGTATTCAGGCCTTGTGTAAAAGACATGTAAATGTCTGCGTGTTTTTTTAATTATGTTGCCATTGGTTTATCTTACAACGTGTTCTGTCTTCACAACTAATATTTGTTTGAACTTTCATGAAGACCTGTCTAAGAGGTTTCTTTCTTGTACGTTAAATTTTTGCTCTACTTCTCCTTGATTTTACTGCAGATGAAAGCTGAGTGATACGGGATTTTAAGTGAATTCTTTTCATGCATAGAGTGAATGGTTAAAAAACAGTGCGGAGAAAGAAAGTGGGGAGGAGGAAAGTGGGGAGAAAGAAAGTGGGGAGGAAGAAAGTGGGGAGAAAGGAAGTGGGGAGGAAGAAAATGGAGAGAAAGAAAGTGGGGAGGAGGAAAGTGGGGAGGAAGAAAGTGGGAGGAGGAAAGTGGGGAGGAAGGGAAGAAAGAAAGTGAGGAGGAGGAAAGTGGGAAGGAAGAAAGTTGGGAGGGAGAATGTGGGAGGAGGAAAATGTGGGAGGAAAAAAGTGGGAAGAAAAAAGTGGGAAGTTTAAATACATAAACAAAATTAGTACATACCTATGACATGATATATGTAGTTTTTTATTATTGATCATTTGGATTTCTTCCAAAAACATTTACTACCATTTTTTGTTGTTGTATATCGTTGGAATAATTATGTTGTTCAACATTAACAAAGACGTTCGTTTATTTATGATACATATTTAATTTTGTTTTGCTCATATTTTCATCTTCTCTAAACACTGCGTGTTCACCGGTCTCTGTATCTCTGTCATCGTTTTAAAATATGTCAAAGTGTAAAATAATCCTGTTTTTATTGTTACGCGTATAGCAATCGAATTCATGTTTTCGTTTTTGTCGATATCAGTTATGACGACATTATGACGATAAAAGTAGATTAAAAGTTTAAATTTTGCTATCGTGTAGCGCAATCAAGCAAATTTTTTGTGTATGTGCTAATAAGAAATTCTGAACCTTCGAAAATATTGGCAAAAATAATATAAAAATTAATAATCCTATTTACTCATATCTCGTTAAAATATCTTGAATTTTTCACAAGAAACTCAACACGTTTACCATCGTCCTCTTTTTCCAATGTTCGATCCCCTTTTCTATCCATCCTCAACCCATCTTCATCAGTTTGGTTCATCTTGATCCCAACAAATTCTTTGCTATACACGGCTATCCCACGTTGACTGTATCCAAATTTCTGTGATGTTGTTTTCGGCGGGTCGTTTTCTCGACCAACAAACATGTTATTATCCTCTCTACCAGTTGGAATACGAAATTTTCTCAGTAAAGAATCATCCGTGTTTATTGTAAGATACTGAGTTCTCAATATTCGATCTTTATGCTTATCTTGCGGTTTTTTCTTTCTTATTGTTTCGCGACTTTCGTCGGATACGCCAACTTGCTCATGCAAATTGGAACTATCTTTGAGATATCGAGATTGGATTTGTGAAAACGTTAGACTGTTACCTTGAAACTCTTCTTTCTTTCTTGGTGATGTTTTAAAACCAGTGGATGCCGTTTCTTTCTTTAGACTTTCTTTATCCATGTCAATACCTTCTTTATCCATGTCAATACCTTCTTTATCCATGTCAATACCTTCTTTATCCATGTCAATACCTTCTTTATCCATGTCAATACCTTTTTCACAACTTGCATCGTTTTCTTTACCTGTTTTGTTTGACGTAAGTACTTGAGTTTCACTCATGGCGATAATTTTGCTGCAATATTTCGTTTCCCTTTCTCCAAATGGTATTATGATTTTTGTCGATGGTGATTTTCTTTCTTTGTCAAGTTTGTCTTTTCTCCGCGGTATACTCGCGTGGCTATCGACATCTTTATTGTTCAAGTCCTCGTCCGTCTCCAATATTTCTTTTTTGCAAGCTTGTTTAGGTGATTTATTAAACGGCAGTTGTGGAAATATTGTTGGCACTGTAATAGAATCGTTCAAACTTTTTTCTTCCAAAGTGTCGTGGCTGGTTTTTGTTGATAGTACCGCTGAAATTTCTTTGTTTTGTTCGGTCCCCTCTTGTTTTTTTGGCTTCGTTAAAACTTTAGGATGAATCATAACACTTTGACATTGTATCATTAATTCGTTTGTTTTATAGCGGTCAGCCAAATATTGTGTGTTTTCATTTCTTTTATGCATTATTCGTACTTTTCCTCCTCTCAACTGACTCTTTGAATTCTCCTCCAATACAGGTGCAGTTCTTTGAAAATGAAAGCTACCAACTGTCCCCCATTTATCATGACGTAATTCAACCAAAGATAGACTCGTTCTTGGATTCTCTCCCTTTGGGATATTCATCAATATACCCATATCTTTCTGTGACTCTTCAGTGTCGATGTCAAAGATATCTTTTTGCATTTCTTCATTGTTCTCTTCGACTTCCGCCATCTTTTTTGGATGTCGTTCGTAATTCTCTTTGTTGAGGGGACGTTTAAGAAAGTCAGATTCAAGTTTTGATTTTTTCATTTTCATCTTACTCTCACGCAGCTCTATTGGCGAACATTTCAGAGCCAGATTATACGTCTTTGTTACGTGGTATTTCTGAAACATAATGGCGAATTATTGAACTAAGTTTCTTTGGCTTTGTATGGAATATTTTTTCTACCTTATGATTTTCTAGTTTTCTTTGTTGATGGGATTGAGGCACAATGCACAACAAATTACCAATGTTCGTCCTTCTAATTCTCTTGCAACTGAAAATAAGTATAATTTGGAGCATCGCGAATAGCCAGTTAACTGAAGACTTTAAAATTAGCTTAAGATTTTTAAAGTTTGCTTAAGTCTTTGACAGTATGCTGAAGACTTTTTACTTAGTTAAAAGCTTTGATAGTTAACTAAAGACTTTTCTAGTTTGCTTAAGTCTGTAAAAGGTAGCCATAGACATTTTAGTTCGATGAAAAGTTTAACAGTTAGCTGAAGACTTTTTAGTTATCTAAAAACTGTTGCAGTTGGCTAAAGACTTTTACTCAACTTCCGCTAACCAGCCATATGTTAAATAAAATGAAATGTGGATATCTTAGATTATTTATTCTGTAAATATAAAATATTTCATCATCACTTTTCGTGCGTACATAGTACCATGTATCTATCTTTTATGTAGATCCTGTATATTCTACATGACCTGAAATCATATATAGAAACACAAGGTTTATTTTGCTGTTACCTATCGCTGAACCAAACACTTTTACTTTGTTTAATGTTTGGTAGCCACGTTGCCAGGTAGTCATCTCTACCATGATATGGAAACATCTTTGTATATTCTCTATCGTTTTCCATATCACGGTGGACACCATCATTTGCAAAAGACATCTGTTTATCTTCCCTGTTAAATCATCGAGACAGCATCAATTTTTCATAGGCGTCTCTCCCGCACTAAAGAACGCGTGTTGTCTGTTTATAGTCTAGACTAACAAACAGCATTTAGGTAGATAAGGTAGGGAATAGACATTCTTTCAAATTGTACTACTCTTTACAGTAAGGAGAATCGATAATGTACACACATAAATGAGAAACTGTTCATTGCGAAAACATCTTTACATATCCATTCAGTTATTTGATATATGTCTAGTTATAGATTCCACCAATTTCTAAAACGTTTCCATCCATTTAAAGAAAGACTTTAATCTTCCCGCAGAGTAAATCTTACCTTTTTCCAAACGTTTCTATAAAGATGAACTCCATGAAATACAAAGATGCTTAACTTGGATTGAAATTTTACCTTGACTACGAATATCGTACACGTAATACTGTGTATCATCACATCTCATGTTTCAGCCCGACAGACGGTTATTTAAATAGTCCATCATTTCAATGAAACTTGTAATACTGATCAAACAAATTGCTCTCTTTTAGGTTTCAGAAAAACATCGTTATGTTTGTAAATGGCTCAATAAAGAAAGCTTTAATACCCTTCTCTTGACGTTTGATGTCTATTTATGCTCTGACGTCTGTTTAGAACGAACGAGAACCTTAGTAATTTGATATGGTCATATCGTGCTTGTTTGTATAATTAATACAGTATGTTTGAAAATTGGTAATCCAGGCATTAATGTTGTTCTGATGAAGGCTCGAAGCAGCGAGTCGAAAGCTCGTTAAACATCATTTCTTAATCCGGAGAAACGTTTATTTTACAAAATTACTACAGTATGTCAATGAATGAATAGTGTGTATATAGTTGGAAATGAGACAGAATGTTTCATATGCTGTAAGGCACGATTCAAATTTTAACTTTTTCATGTGCCGAATGTATTAAAGAAAGAAATACGATATTGGTTTTAACTCTTTTTTTATCTGAAGCATTTGTAAAAAGTTAAAAGTTAGAACTTTAAAACAACTTCATATAATAGGATGGAAGGAACTTTCATACTAAAACAACGTTGAAATTTTAATCAAATAAGGACTTAGAATAAGGATTATAATATTTATTTACCATCTTAATAAGCATCTACACATCTAACCATGCATAACGATACTCATTAACAATATTCGTGGAAAAGTTCGACAATAGTGATGAACTTGACAACCTTCGGTGATCACTCCTCTTCCGAGCAACATGTTTTATAACATCACTTTATGCATTCTTCTTTTTGGAATGGGGAATGAGGTCTGGATCGTAGTCTTTCACACGGATGATTTGAATTAACTTTTTTACATGGGGAAATTTATGTAAAGAAAACAGTTACTTTTCTTTATACGAACACTTCAAGAATTATACGCATGTCGAAGTGGAAGACTTTTTCACAAACGTATTGCAACTAATAGAATAATTAGCTTCTGATTTCTGTATTCTGTATTCAACACAACCTAACGTTCATAGATGGTCGTTGTAGTTTAAATTGAAACATTTATACAGGAGTTTTATGCAATTTGTACTAATTTCTCAACTAATTCTATTTTAAAATAAATGGTTTGAACCCGGGAGTTCGTTACATGTTTGTAGATGTAGATCGTCTAGGTTGGTATAGTCCTGAGAAGGACTGTTTTTGTTGTTGTTGACTGACGTTTCGACAACCTTAGCGGTAGTCATCTTCAGAGTCAAAAAAATTAAGATGGCAATTTTTTGACAGTTGTCATCTTGCCACTCATCAGGAAGAAACGCCATATTGATTTTAAATCAGTTGAACATCAAACTTCGTGTAGTGCTAAATATTACAGGAGATTTAACAAAGGCGAACTGAAAGAATTTAACTCCGTCAAGAAGATATAAATGTCAGCCATGAATATCTTGAAAATTGGCGTTTTCATCATATTTTTTGTGGCTTACACTACGCACCAAACATGGTATCTCATGAGGGATTTGCACTATATCAATGAAAACTTCTTCGTCTCTCGGAGTTGCATCATTAACCTGAACATTATAAATTTTTTTTAGCCATTAAAAAATTGTATGTTCTCAACTTGGGATGATTATATTTGAAAGCAGAAACACTTTTTTTTTAATGTTATTTTATTTCAAAGAGAGACGTTATCAAAAGTGCATTACCTAATTTACCTTTCACTTACCTGGGATAACTTTTAATATTTAACATATTGTAGAAATTTAGCCAATCAGAGATCTAAGAGCTCAAAATTTACCCAATAACAATTGTAGAGCCTATCGAAATCAACCAATGAAATCGGCCACCAAATGATCTTAATAAACGTCAATCACTTCTACACAACGGTAGATGCCCTCAAGACTCGAAAGTGAAAGGAAGGTTAGTGAAATTTTGATTTATTGTTTTAAAACGTACTTCAAATGTTGATAAATCTGATGACAAAAGCCTTGTTTGATGTATAGTTACGCATTGTTTTATTTGTAAATCTTTCGTCGGTTGTTTTGTGCAATTCGCCGTTTAACTGCGTGCCTTCGACGGTGTATTTGTTTTGTGAGAAACTTGACAGTATAAAACGGCAAGTTTGTATGTTTCAAAGTCTTTCTTTCTTTTACTTCAGTGTGTTGGTGACTGCTAGTGTTTTGAATACTTCGAAGTGAAACTTTGTTGAATATTTTGCTTTTAGCGTATTTTTGAATCGATATTTTTCAGCGAAAGTTGTGCGACCGACATCTTCCTCGTTTCAACACAAAAATATGTAAAAATTCTAGGTGAAAAGTAATAGTATGGCAAAATAAGCGATAAGGAGGGATATTTATCCCATGGGTTGATTTTTGTTCGTAAAAATGTTCTTTTGACTCTTTGAGCGAAAATTTTGAGATATGTGAAAAATATGAAAATGTTGGTTCATGGTGGACATTGACTTTCGATAAAATTGGCGCGAATTTTGTTCCGCGTGAAAATGAAGAACACTGGGCACGAATTATGCAAAATTGACAAGCTTGACTACGAAAATACCCACAAAATCTTTGAATGGAGTGGGATACTGGGAAAAATTTGAAGAGTTTGACGGCTACAGGTTCTTCAATTCAATAAGTCGAATGATAACATTTCAATGGGCGAGAAAGATTTTCAATGAAATACGATGTACGCTACTTGAGTACAATTTAGAAAAAGTTATTGAAAACTATTTTAAGAACATTTTGCCAATAAATGTGTTTATATTCTATAGGAAAAGAAGCTTATTTTTCTTGAGAATTTACTATGAGCAATCATAAAGAATGCAACAAAAGTCGTATCCTAGTTGAAATTTGAAGCAAAGATAAAACGGATCGCTATGAAAACAACTGGAAGAGAACAAAGGAGGAGTAAGGTAGGAAACTCAAAATTATATGACGCTAAAACTTCCATTGACTGCCTGGTTCTTTTTATACAAAAACGATTTTGAAAATTTTTGTTATAATATTCTTTTATTGTAGTAATCTTTTCTGTTAATATTTTGTTTTAATATTGCAATTTTTATAATATATATCAAATGGGTGAAAACACAGAAGCTCATTTCGTTTGATTTGAATTGATAGGATATTCAAATGAAAGCAACAGAAAGCGTCTTTTATGGATTTACTTGTGCACACATTCAAAATTTTCCCTTTTCTTAAACTTTGCACGAAAAGTTTGTTTAACCTTTTGTTGTGCAATCATTATCTTCGTATTTTGCTGCTGGTAGACGAGTACTAGCTATAAGTTTAGGGTAGAAATGATTAGATAATAAATCAAAACAATTGTTGTGAACGATCTATCTGAAAACGATGTTCAAAGCATTTAAAGAAGTCTATATGACTTCCTCCATTTGAAATGTGTAAGGGATTAAAACAAACATTCCTTCATGAAACAAAACTAAATGTTGTGTGTGCCAACGATTTTGATTAAATTTTTAAGTCAATCCAGTGGTGTGAATGATATTTCAAAAATCAACGCTCAATGACATATAAAGAAGTCTATAAGACTTCCTTCTTTGAAATGTATAGATAAAAAGAAGCCTTCATTTGTAAAAATTTACTCATGAATCAAAAGTAATACTGTGTATTTTGCAAAATGCTGCTGAATTTAAGATATACAAGAATTAGCAAATCTAGTGTTGTGAATGATCTATATAAAAAAAAATCGACGTCCAATGGCGTATAAAGAAGTCTATAAGACTTCCTATGAAATGTATATATAGCAAATCTAGTGTTGTGAATGATCTATATAAAAAAAATCGACGTTCAATGGCGTATAAAGAAGTCTATAAGACTTCCTATGAAATGTATATATATATCAAAAGACATATTCGCTGAAAAGAAATTTACTCATGAATCAAAGTAATTGTGGACATTTTTAAACAAATGCTGTTGAGTTTAGGTAAGGATTATCAGACAATAATTAAGTCAAAACTGCTATTGAACGATCGATATGAAATCGACGTTTAAGAGAAAATGAAGAAGTCTTTACGACTTCATTCTTTTAATTTATAAGATATGAAAAGAAACATTAATTGAAGAAATTTATTTATAAAACAAAAGTAAAATATCATATTAATCATACATCAGCAACTTGAAGTCTTCATTTGTCCACTATTCATTTAATTATTAATTAGAAAAGTAAGTAAAAGTATTGTTGTAAAAGTAAGTACTTTGAACAAAGCGTTCTACAGATTATTTAAAATAGCTACAAGACATCGAGAATAGTTAGAATTAATAGAAGAGGTCACTATGAACCACAAGTTCACTATTGGACAAGAACAAGGAAACTCAAGAACGCGGTATACTTAGTCAGGAAGCGTTTATGAGCCTATGATGGCAAAACAGCATCTACTTTTTTTGGGGAGCTCATCAATGTAGCGTTTTCCGTTGTTGAGACACTTCATCGCGAATGTGGCGTCTTCCGTTGTTGAGGTACTTCATCGACTCTTGCGAAAGCGGCGTCTTTCGTTGTTCAGGCACTTCGTCGACTTATGCGAAAGCGGCGTCTTTCGTTGTTGAGGCACTTCATCGACTTTGCGTTGCGGCGTCTTGCTGTTGAGGCACTTCGTCGACTCTGCGAAAGCGGCGTCTTTCGTTGTTGAGGCACTTCATCGTTTCTTGCGAAAGCGGCGTCTTTCGTTGTTGAGGCACTTCGTCGACTCTTGCGAAAGCGGCGTCTTTCGTTGTTGAGGCACTTCATCGGCTCTTGCGAATGTGGCGTCTTCCGTTGTTGAGGCACTTGTCAACTCTTTTGCGAAAGCGGCGTCTTTCGTTGTTGAGGCACTTCCGATTTTGCGAAAGCGGCGTCTTCGTTGTTGAGGCACTTCATCGACTTTTGCGAATGTGGCGTCTTCCGTTGTTGAGGCACTTGAGACGCAGAATTTTTCGTTTTTGAGGCCCTTCGTTCATTCTTGACAGGTCAGAAATTTCCATTTTATATCTTCAGAGACTCTTCAATGGAGGAGTTTATCTGATCATTAGATCTGAGGCGTCAGATAGATCAAACTAGATCAGATAGAAAATCAACAAAGAAAGAAAAGCGAGAAATTCAAAGGCAAAGTTCACTGCTATGTTTTTTAAAAGCAGTGAAACGGTGCAAGAAAAAATGACAAAGCAATCTTGTGACGAAAAAGAAGATGAAATAATGAAAGAAAACATTGACAGCAAGATGAAATAATGCAAGACAAAGTTTCATGACTCTATAACTATACTTGTAAATACATTGCCTGACACTTTAGCCCATGCATGACTTTTGAAGACTTCTTGTTGCAGATATAATCTTTTTACATGTTGCTTTCTGTTTGTGGGTTTCATCGTCTAACTTAATTGTCTCGTATAACTTACCTTAACTCAATAAGCTCTTGAACAACTTAATTCAGACTAAGATGTAAATAACCTAGCTCGTCGAAAGTTTTATGTTCTGTTGTTTTGACTTGCACGTGATTTTCGACCAAATGTGCACAAGTAAATCTCTAGAGATGCTGCAGTTGGCACAAGATATAGGATGGACGTCAGGTAAGATGAACATTAGATGATGCACAGACATTTACATTGACATTAAATTTACTTGAATATTTTGCCACCTGAATTTTAGCAAAAGCATGCATTTAATGCCATGATGAGTTATGGTGCTTTGTCCATCTATGGTGGTGACATTGTGTGGAAGTTTGAAACTGCTATGGTGAACTATAAACTCAATATCAGGAAACAAATTATCCATCCTAATACCACAAAGCTTAAAATATATTTTGGTAAGTGTTTTTATCTGTTCGATATCAAGCGATCGTTTTAGTGGAGGACGTAATAACTAATAATAGTATAATGATTTTGATTCCAGAAATTTTTCTTCAAAAAACCACCTTTACCACTGCTGAACGTTTAGGAGTTGCAGTTGCTTATGACGATGAATCTACAGGTATTAAACTTTTCTTGTAAATACCTTTCGTACTTGTTTTATCATTACTTACAGTTTCTGCAAAGCTGGTTACATTATGAGTAGACTAAACAGTATGATGTCATAATAAAATGATCCAACATTTAACTTTTAATAAATTTTCAAAATTGGATTATTGCTTTTTGTTGTGTTTATTACTAAATCTAGAAA